AGATACTTGTAGTCCCTCCCAGCTTCATGTCGTCTGCAAATTTAATAAGCACTTTCTCTATTCCATCATCCAGGTCTTTAATGAAAACATTGAGCAAACCAGAACCGGGGCAAGCCCTTCGCCATCCGAGCAGCCTGATGTGTTCTGTGCTCACCATGCTCTGCCCAAACGTCCTGGGAAAGGGTGCCAGACCTTTGCCACGCTGGCTGTGCCTCACTGCATCCCCCAGCTCACGTGGGACCCCTCTGCTTCGCTGCCCTGGAGTGGTGCTGGGACCAGTGTGCGCTGCCCACATTCAGGGGAGCTGGTGTTGGGGTGGGATGGGAGGGGACAGGGGTTTGTCTCCAGGAGGGCTCCAGCTCAAGCTGCCACTATCTGGCACGGTGCCAATGCCTGGGGCCAGCCCCCGTGTGCTGAACACCACAGGGCCATGCCCTGCAAACCCTTCTGTGGGACATGCCAGTGGTGCAAGGAGGGTTTGTGGAGAAGCAGAGGTGCATCCTGAGCTGGGGTGTGTGGCAGTGACCACGGCTACAAGTGGGGTGCTGAGGGGACCAGGTGTCCAGCAGTGGGAGGGCAAGAGGCCCTTCACCCAGGTAGTCAGAGTGGGCACAGAGCAGAGCAGAGCAGCCCTGGTGGGGCCGCCCTCCCCACCCTCACAGCTACCCACCTAAATTTTCTCCAGGTGAGGCTCTGCCCAGCCCTGCTGTGTGGCAGGGACCTGAAGCCAGCCAGGAGGAGCAGTCTCATGTGCTGCCCCTGGCCACGGCCATCTCCTTTTTTTAATTGATTGTAGAAAGCAATTTACAAAATACAAACTGCTGCCTGTGCCAAGCCCTGCGTGTCCAGGCAAAGCCTAATTTCACAGTAAAATTTCAAGTGCAACGAATGGCTTTTCCCAGCACCAGTCCATGTTCAAGCCAAGAGCTTTGCAGGCTGCATGGACCGCACTGAGTAGCCCAGAAATGGCTCTTCACTGCCCTGCGGAGCAGGCAGCTCCCCCAGGCTGGCTGTCGTGATGGCCATGGCACCTCTGCCAGCACTCACTGGACTGGTGTGGCTGCATAGGACCACCATGGCTGGCAGCTTGGTCTGAGGAGACCCACAAGCCCCAAATCTCCAAGCAGACAGCTGGATGCCGCAGGCATTCCGCATGCTCCGTGTGGCCGTCGGGGAGGTGGCCCAGCAGGGCTGGCCAGTGCTGCGGTGGTGGGGGCTCAGCTGAGAGCTGGTGCTCCCAGCCCTGGCTCCTTTCATGTCAAAGTCATAATTTCATGGTCAGGGTCTAGGAGGTTTGTACAAACAGATGCATTAATTCTGCATTTAGTGATACAGGAATAATTGGTGTCACATCAATTAGATCGGTTCTTGGATACTGCAGTGATAAGTGCTGTGCAAAGGCCCCTGGGCTGCAGGATGTGAGGAATTCCAGCAGTGAGTGAGGCTGGTGGGGTTGGCAGCAGTGGGCAGAGCGGGGTTGGCAGGCATGTTGGGTGCTGGGAGAGCAGCAGAAGCGTGCGATGCTTTTGGCCTTTGCAGGACAGCGGCGAGGCCTGGGGCTCTCACAGTGGTCAGTGCCTAGAGCTGCTGTGCTGAGGGACACTGAACAGCCTGGGGGCGCAAGGGGAAGGGCTGGAAACGTGGCAAACCTCTGAGCAAAATGCCCCAGTAGTCCCATCATGGTGCTCCTCTGTGTCAAGCCACTTGCTGGGCACCTAGTTCATCATCATCATCATCACCCACTGTACCCCTTACCCCTTTGGGGGGAACAGGACTTTGCAGGCATGGTGGATTTTACTGGCTCGCTGCTCCCCACCCCACCAGCTAATGGGAGAAGGCTCAGGTGGGTCTCAGGCAGCGTGGAGACCCCCTGCGCTCACACTCCTACAGTGCAGATCGGCACTGTCAGCCCCATCCCCTCTGCGGATTGTAGGCAGAGGTAATTTGCAGATGACAAATATCCCTGACAGTAAATATTTTTCCCACCCTCATCTCTCTACAAGCAGATAAGGTGGCAGCACTGTGGCAATACGGTTGCTGGAGGGAGACAAACTCTTTGGCAGACTTAAAAGTCTATTGTGTCCCCGCAATTATTTATAGATAAAGAGAAGAAAGCCAATAAGCAGAGAATGGGGCTGCACAGCTGCATTTGTTATGACGATGATGATGATGTTATCTCTCCCTCACACCCACGCACACATATCTCCAGTGTGTGGAAACTCGCTGTTGGCAACAATCAAATCCCTATCCGGGACAAGGCAGGACAGGCTGGAGGCTTCGCCCTCTCTTCACTGACTTGTACCCAGCCTGTTCTGCACCAAATACACAACTCCAGCAGCTTCTCCCAGTGAGCCACGGAGCCACAGCACCCACAGGGCCCTGGGGTACCCATGCCATAGTGCAGTCCTTCCTTGGGGCACCCTGAGGTGCTGCCTCTTTGTTCCTGGCTGCAGCAGGATGTGGAGACCATGTAGCATTCACCTCATTAAAACAGCCCCTGGGGTGCTGGGTGCCTTGTGGTGAGGGTCTGGGGTTTTGTGCAGGGAATATGGGACTATCTGGGTCCTCACCAGCTTGTGCAGCAGGACTCCAGGGTGTGGGTGCTCCCTGCTGCTGGACAGGGTGCAGGGGTGAGGCTGTCATCTCTCCCTGCTGCACACAGCCAGGACCTCCTCTCCCATCCCACACCACTGCTGAGAACAGAAGCGGGGGTGTTTGGAGGGATTAACTGACGTGGCAGGCATGGGCGATGGAGGTCGCTGCCGGTGAGCAGTTTCTGAGCCGGTGGAGCAGAGACACCCTGAGTGAGAAACATCGACTGCAGTGTGCGAAGGGGTTGGGAAGCACCACTGTTCAGTGAGTGCTGCAGGAGCCCAGGGAGGGGGCCGGGGGACTGGCAGGGCTGGATGCACAGAAGGGAAGGGCAAGGAAGATGCATGCTCAAGGCCTGGGGTGCCGGGCACCAGGGCCACGGGTGAGCTGCCATGCGTGTGGCACTGGGACCCTTGACTAGCCCAGCTCTCCCCATGTCCCAGGGTCCTGTATGGCATCACCTGGCTGCTGCAGGGGCAGGAGCCCCATCACTCCCCTGGGCACACACAACCACTGCTCCTCCCCAGGACTGGGACTGCAGGAGGGGTGTGCACCCCTGCCAAGCGCTCAGCCCTGTCTCAGTGGGATCCCTATCCTGGGAAAGCCCCGGGCCAAGCTCTCCAGCTGCAGACAGCATCCGAGACAGAGACTGGGAGCCCTTCACTGGACTGGAGAGCGGGACGATTTTTCATTGCTTCCTCATAATAAGAGGACAGGAGTAAGTGACTAGTACAGTCCGTTCACTCGGTAAAGATTTATACAATCACTTCATCCGGTAATTGGTATTCTGGGGAGAAAGAGAGCTGCAGCTCCAGCATCCGCCTCTATTTGTTTTATCTCTGTCTTTCTCTCTTTCTCTCCCCCTTTTCAGAATGAGTAATTCTGTCCCTCACAATCCCATTTAAACAGAGCATTTGCAGAGTGAATAATTAGTTACATTCAATTAGGCCTCACACACCCTCCCTTCTCACTTTGGGGGACAGACGGGCTAACGAGATGGCACAGGTCTGACACGTGGGAGTGGACACCGAACACGCTGCGTGCCAGCAGGGAAGGGTCAGCCCTGGGGGAGGTGGCCCCAGAAGGGCCAGCCCACTACTGGGGGAAGACAGTTCTTTAAGGGCCATTTGGGGCCAAAGGCTTCATGTTTGGGGCCAAAGACTCTGCATCTGTAGCCCACACGACACCAGCCTGCTCGACCAGCAAGGTCAGGGTCACACCTGTCCCCAGGACTGGGTGTTCTCTAGGTTGGTGCAAAGGGAATGCTGCCCAGGCTGGGAGCACCCCACCAGCACTGTTGGGAACACCGAGCCCTGAGAGGAGGGAAAGCTCCTGACATGCTTTTATCTCCCTTATTAAACCTAACATTAGGTTTTAAGAGGACCCTTAAATAATGTGCCACTGCCTGCGCAGGCAGTCGCTCCATGTTCCAGCTGCTCCTGCTCTGGGATTTATGGCCTTTGCTCTGCCGTGCTGCCTGTGCTTAGGTGGTGGTGGGTCACGGGCTGTGGCTGCTCCCAGTACCTGAAGCCTGCAGTGGGCTTGGTGCCACTGAAATCCAGCCCCACACCAGTGTGTTGGGGGCCACAGCAGCTCTGCTGCTGCCCCCCAGCACCTGCAGCAGGATGGACCCCACTTGAGCATCTGCTGCCGGAGCAGCGAGGCGAGGTCACGGAGCTGCCTGCTGCAGGCAGCCCTGCCTGCACCCTCGGTTCCCCGTGGGCCCAGATAGGGTGTGTTCCTGAGTTCCTGGGGCCACCGTGGGGGTCAGCACAGGTAGTAGAGGCTTTTCCCTCTCTCCCCTGGTTGAAGCATCTGTCTTGGGAGCACCTGCTCCATCCCCAGAGCATCCCTCCAGCAGCATCAGACCTGGGAGCGGCGGTCCCGGGGGCACTGGTTGCTCACTCACAGGGGGTGAATAATGACGTTTAATCACAGGTTTTTGCCAGCGGTGGGTGGAGGGTGAGGGAGCGCGGCCGCTCCCGCACGTACCGGCGGGTGCGCGGGGGAGCCGCGGGAAGGGGGCCCACGCTGGGCAGTCCCGGGGCCAGCGCCCCCCGAACCCGCCCGGAGCCCACGCGGGGCGGGGCGGGGGCGGGCGGTGCCGGTGCCGCCCCGCGCAGCCCGCGCCGGTCCCGCAGCACCATCTCCCGGCCGCCGCACGCCGGTGTCCGCGGTCCGGCCCCGCCGCCCCGATCCCCATCCCCGCCCCGTCCCAGAGCTGAGCCGCGGGCCCGCCGGTTCATCCCACGGAGCCCAGCATTGCCGGGAGGCACTGGAGGACGGGACCGGTTCGAGGTACCCAGTGCCCTGCCCTGGCAGCAGCACCCACCAGGCCCTGCTCCAGCATGGGCAGCACTTCCACAGCCCCCTGGACAGGCAGCTGAGCCGTGGTGGGCAGCCCCCACTCCTGGCCATGGCATGCCCAGCATGCAGGGAAGGCTCTGAGCTGCGGTGTCACCATCAGCTGTTACACCCCGCTGTGGCAGCCCTGGAGGGTGCACCGGGCTCTGCCAGGGGTCAGCAGGGGAGCAGCCACGCTGGGCTTCACCGCAGCACCTGGTTGGGCAGCAGGATGGGACAGAGCCTTGTTCTGTGTCCCTGTGCAGGCAGCCAAGCCTCGCTCCACCAGGGCAGCCCTGGGCAGGTGACCAGACCAGTTGCTGGTGTGGCAGTATTCCCGTGGGGTGGTCGTGCCATGGTCCACCGCAGCACCACATCACTTGCAGCCAGGCCAGATGCCAGATTTCCTCCCCAGCTGGAGAGGGGACAGAGGAGATGGTGCTGTTCCCAGTCCGTGCTCCTGCTGGATGGTGCGCCCTCACACCATCTCCTGCTCCGAGATGCGGCTCTCCTTGCCATCCTCCTGGGCCACGGGCTGGCCCCTGAGTAGGGTCTCCTGCACAGGCAAGACATTCTCATCCTGCTCCGTGGGCTGCTGGGTATCTGCGTTCTCTCCGGGCATCCCAGCCTTTATATGCACAGGGGAGGGGTCAGGGGCACGCAGCTACATCCCCCCCACCTCTGCACCCACATCTTTCCACAGGCTCCTGCTACACTGCCATGACTGCCAGAGTGTTGCTCTGTGTGTGCCCCTCCCACATGCTCAGCACTTGCCAGCAGCCCCTCAGGGTTGCCCCAGCCCTTGTCCTGCCCCCAGCTAGGCAGCCCAGTTCAGCCCCCACCCCTACTGCCCTGCAAAGCCACAGCCCCTGCTCTGCTGATGGCACATCCCCAGCTGTGCCCACGAGGGATCCCAACCCACCCAACCTACTGCTGGAGAGGGGCTCTGGGCAGACTCACCTCCTTCTCCACCCGTCGCCTGGAATCTGGATGGAAAGAGGGACAGAGAAGGCCACATTCAGCAGGGAGCACTCCAGCCTGCAGGGAGCTTCCCGGGGTCAGAACCAGGGCTGGTGCTTCTGCACCACAGGTCCTGCAGCTCGCTTGTTGTGCTTGCTGCCACTGCCAGGCTGGGGGGGCTGGGGGCCATGGCAGGAGCCAGACTGGACCCACAGGACACCACTGCTGTCCCGGCTCGGGCTGCAGCCGTGCCAAGGCACCTGCTCCCCAGGACAGAGCCCCTGACCCAGCAGGGCAATGGGCCTGGGGAGCCCTGCCCTGGTGATGTTCCCAGAGGGGCTGTCCCACTCTCAGCAGAGCTGCTGCTGTCCTCCCCTGCTCAGCCCCTCAGCCCTGTACGGCCCCTCTGGCCAAGGCACTGTTTCCTGTGCCCCAGCCCCTCACCTGTGTGGACCAGGCAGTAGATGCAGACGCCCACGAGGCACGTGACGACTGCAGCCGCGATGGGGATCAGCACCGACAGCGAGGAGTGCCTGCCTGACTCTGCAGGGGGGAGACGGGGTCAGTGGGGCACCCACGGGACACCCACGGTGACACCGAGTGCCCCAAGCTGCCTCTGCACCAGGCCCAGCCCTGCAGGGATCCCTCTCGGGGACAGAGAGGCAGGAAAGCATCACACCAGCCACGTGCTCAGACCCTCCTCTCCCAAAAACACCCAGGGGCAAGGCCAGCTCTCAGAGTGTTGCCGGAGCCCTGGGAGGTCTCTGCTTTGCACCAGGTGAGCCCTGGGCACCGAGCACTTACCGCAGATCACATCCGAGGTGTTTGTCCCTTCCACCTTCAGAGCCAGCCCCTTTTCCTCACAGCTGCAGGGAAGAAGACGACCATGTAACCACAGCAGCAGCCCAAACACAAGGGAAGTCCCCAGGCAGAACAGCTGGGGCTGGGCAGGCACCCAAGCTGTGCCAGAATGAGTCCTGTACTGAGCCTGCCTGCTCCAGGGTGAGCAGGGAGGCCCCAGGGCTTGGGCACTGCAGCTATGACAGAAAAGCTTACAGTGGACTTGATGACAGGCTACAAGTGGCTCCGTGGGGAGGTAATTTCTGGGCACAGATAAAAGCAAAGTGAAATCCAATGGCTGGCAGCTGAAGCAAGACTAATTCAGCCTGGAAACAAGGCTCACGTTTCTACCAGGGTGTGCGATTAACCCCTCAAGCAGCTTTCTAAAGACAGGGATGATGTGCCAGCCCAGGGCATCCTCAAAGCCAGACTCCCCACGGAGAGAGCTCGTGCCTGGGCTGATGACTACAGCCACAGAGAGTTCCAGGAGGGAAACCCTGAGCAGGGCATGGGGCATCCCTTTCACCCCTCATTCCTTGCTCCCAGCACAGACGACAGGATGGATACTCCTGAAGAGGTGAGCACTCTGTGCACATACTGAGGGACAGTCTGGATGTCTGCCTCAACCTCAGCCATGCTGCCCTGAACTTCACCGTGCTCCCAGCCCTGCTCCTCTCGCTCCAGCCCTACGCCAGCCAAATGCTGTGTCCCTCAGAGACCAGCCCAGCTACTCAGTGCTTGAGGCTGCCGAGGAGACCTGCAGCAGAGGATATCCTCACTGGAGCTGGGGGAAGGACGTGGTCAGCACTCAGACAGTACCTTGTCCAGGGATGGCACGGCTCAGTTTTAGAAGAGACGCTGGAGAAGGTGCCTTCTGCACAGGGTTCGCAGGGGGATGTCTTCCTCTCCATGGCCTTGGCTGGAGAGGAGCAGAGGTGGCAGGAAGGTCAGTAGGGGCTGTGGGGGGCAAGGGGCTGCTGAGGCCAGGTGGGCAGCACGCCCCGTGGCAACGCTATCAGGTGTGGCAGCAGGTACAGCCCTCCCAAAGCCCTGCCAGGGGCACCTTGCTGGGGGAGCCCCTGTTCCCTGCACCACCTCAGGTTGGTGCTGCCAGGGCACTGGACTCACCTGCCACGAAGCCAGAGCCGGGCTGGCAGGGCTGGTTCTCCACGCAGGTCTGGCAGCTGGTGTCCGAGCAGTGCGTGCCGGGCTGGCACTGGCACACCGTGTTGTGCGTGGCGTTTCCGTGTGTTTTCACGATGAGCCCGGCGTCTGGGCAAAGGGAGAGCAGGCGAGGTGAGACAGCCGGCAGGTGAACCTGGGAGGATGCCAGCCTCTGCAGTCCCCACAGGTTGGGGCCAGTGGGCACAGGGACCACTTACTGTGTTCACAGACTTCATGAGGAGCACAGTGCTTCTCTTTAGTCCAGCCCTGCTGATAGTGCCCGTCCTCACACAGGGTGCAGTCAGAGTTTTCTGTTTCGCTGCACTCAGAGACCAGCTTTTCCCCTGCAATAGATGCTGGTGAGCAGAGGGCAAGGGGGCTTCCCCTCTTTTCAGGCATCATCTCTGCCAGCAGGACAGTGGAGCTCTGGTGGCTGTGGGCACTGGGTCTGCTGCAGCATCGTGCTCAGTAGCCAGGACTGCAGGAGCCAGCTTGCCTGCTGGCTGTACATGTTGAAGGGGCCAAGGCAGGGAGGGAGGGCTGTGGGGGCACTTGAGCACTCCAGGGACTGGGGAACAATCTGACAGTGACAGCAGGAGCTGGCAAATGCCACCACAGTTTGCTAGTGCCAGTAGCAGCACTCTTACAGCAAGCCACCTTCGCCATGGGGTCCTGTGGCTGCAAGAGTACAGACAGTCCTAAGAGAGCTGTGGTAGATTTGGTGAGGTCCAGGGGGTCTCCTAGAGCACTCCCACGGTCCCAGTTGCTCTAGCACTGAGATGACTCAGGGAGGGGACGCTGTCAGCACTGCTGGCAAAGGGGTGGAGGGGCTCAGTCACAGTGAGCCGGGCCCTGGCACAGCCCAGCCACAAGGTCCCCTGGAAGGGGTTTCCATACCTGGCCGACACCGGTTGCAGCACCTGCCCTTGTACTCATACTGCTTATCAGAGCACGTTAAGGCATCACCAGGCTCCAAGCACTGGAAGAAACAGGACCTGTGAATTCATACCCAGCACTCCCACACCGCCGCGCTTCCATAGGCACTGTGCGTGTTAACCTGCACCCCGAGGTGAGGGTTTCCTCACACCGCTCTTCCCACGCCTGCACTAACCACAGACCACAACAGCCACCCACTGCCTGATGCCATCGGTGCTCTCTTTGAAGTGGGGTGGCAGCAATTCCGGTAGGATGTCCCCATGGTTTCCCAGATTTCCTACTAGATGGTGATTGGTACAAAACCCTGTGTCCCTGCCAACAGCGCTCTGGTCACAGGCTGAGGGAGCAGCATTCACCCAGCTTCCGTGCCCAGAGTGCAGACAGCCCCTTCCCGAGGCTGATGCACTGCCCCTGAGGGACAGGAAAGCCCCAGGCAAGCGCATCATCCATGCAAAGCCTGCCAGGGCCTGGCCTTGCTCCTCCTGGCAGGGGACTGTCCGCACAGGGAAGGGTGGAGAGGTAGGAGGGAACGAGCCCTTGGGCCAGCTGGAGTGCAGGAGGGCACCCGCAGCACCGTCCCTCGCACAGAGCCAGCCCCTCGCTGCCCACCCGCAGTGTCCTGGCAGTCGGGGGACCCGCCTGAGCCTGGCCATCCCGGGGAGTGCGAGAGGGCTGCGGGGCGGTGGGCAGCAGGCCAGGGAGAGCAGGGCCGAGGGTGCCATGGGCGAGGACCCAGCACCACCGGGCAGTGCCGAGCCCCGCGGGTCCCTCGAGCATCCCCACCTCGGGGGGTCAGCGATGGGGCCGCGGGGCTCGGCGGAGGCTGAGCGGGGATGCCCGAGCCCGCAGACGGTGCCGTCCCCGCCCGCACGGAGCCGGGGGGAAAGTGAAAGGGGCGCAGGCAGCCGGTTCCAGCGCCCCCGCCCGCTTGGGGGTCCCGACCGAGGGCCCCGGGGCTCGCCCCTGCCCGTCCCTGCCCGGGGGGACCCCTGGGCTGGCTCTGGGCTGGGCTGGGCTGGGCTGCCGGGCCCGCGCCCTCGGGGCGAAGCGAAAGCGCGTGGGAAGGGGGACCTGGAGAGGAGCCCGGCCAGCCCATCCCGCTCCTCCGCCCCGGCAGGCCGGACCGATGGACCCGACCCGGCCCGGCAGCGCTGCCGGTCCCGCCGCCGTGGCACGGCCCCGGGACTGCCCGGGGGGACGGGCTGGAGAGGCCAGACGGGACCCCTTCCCGGAAAGCCCGGCAGGAGGGAGGGAGCCCCCAGCCACTGCCCCCGTCCCGATCCCTGCCCCAATCCCGATCTCCCCGTCGCGGCCCCACTCACGCCCAGCAGCGCCAGCGCGGAGAGCAGCCCCAGCAGCACCGGGCGGTTCATGGCGCTGAGCCCCGGCCGCCGCCGCCGCCCTAAGAACGGCCGGGTCCGTTCCCGCCCAGGAAGGGGCGTTGGGCCGCCCTCCCCGGGGCTTCCCCGCCGCCCCCCCGAGGCCGGGACAGCTCTCCCCACCCGCCTCCCCGAGCGCCCCGATGCCCACCCGGCCCGCGGGCAAGGGCAGTGCCAACCGGGACCCCCGGCCCGGGGTCACGGGCAGGGGCAGGAGAAGGAGTTGGGGTCGTCCGCGGGGAGGGGAGGGAAGGGAAGGGGAGGGGAGCTCCTGTGCAGCCCCCTCCCCCGGCAGGACTTGGAGGTTTCACTTCTTTTTTCCCAGCAGCAGCTCAGAGCTGCAGCCTTTGTGAGCACCTCAGAGCTGTGGCCCTGGAGAGCCCCCGTGACTACGAATCCGGAGGGCCCCAGCAGCTGTGACCTGGCTGGGACCGTGGAGAACCGCTGGGGCTGCAACCTTGGAGAGCCCCCACAACCACCACGAGCTCCAGACACGTCAGCCCTGAAAGGGGAAGGGGTGACAGCACCGAGGCCTGGCTGTTCTTCCGTCTCGGTTCCCCAGAAGGGTTTCCAGCAGCCCCCAGGGAAGTTCCAGGTTCCTTGCCCGCTCTGGAGATGCTCCCTGGACTCCCCTTTCCATGGTGGTGCCCAGGCAGTGAGTGGCGGCTCCTCAGCATCCCTTGGTGCCCCAGCCACACACAGCGGTGCCACCCTGTCCCCAGAGCCACCCTGTGCCCGCTCTGTCGCGGTGCCTGAGAGGACACAGCACAGCAGCCGCTTCCCTGGTCTCCCAGGCTAGCAGCCACATGTGGCCATCGCCAGGCCACAGCTGCTCCCGGGGAAATCGGGAACCAACCATGTGCTCTGGATTCCCCAGCCCGATGTCACTCCCCAGACTGATGTCACTTCCCAGAACTGAGTCGCTCAGGAGCACAAAGGGTCCCAGGGGGAATCTGGAGGGCAGAGGGAGGTGGCAGTCGCGGGGAGGGGATTTTTGGGCCCGATTCCCCTGGGCCTGGCCTGGGAAGTCCCCATGGCCCCAGGTACTGGTTGGGCAGGATCCCCTGTGGCCCCAGGCTGTGAGTGCCCCTTGCTTCTGGTCCTGGGTGGCAGTGGGACCCGGTGGTCCCAGGTGACAGGAGTGGCTCTGACAGGAGCTGATGCTCAAAAAGCAGGACAGAGCAGCGTCGGTGCTGCTGCTCGGGGCAGCCCCGGGACTGGGGGTGCAGCACAGGGACCCCAACCCCTGAGCGGTCTTAGCTCCAATCCCCATCTGATCCCAACCCCGCCCCCATGTCTGATCCCAATCCCAGTCTGATCCCAATCCCAATGCTGGTCTGATTCTGGTCCTGGTTCCAGTCTGATCCCAATCACAGTCTGATCCTGGTCCCTGTCTGATCCCAATCCCAGTTTGATCCAAATCCTGCTCCCAGTCTGATCCCAGTCCTGGTCTGATCCCAATCACGATCTGTCCTGGTCCCGGTCTGATCCCAGTCCCTGTCTGATTCTAGTCCCAATCCCGGTCTGCCCCCGAATCCCACTCCTGGTTTAATCCCAGTCCTGGTCTGATCCCAATCCCAGTCCCGGTCCCGCCGCCTCCCCCGCGCGAGGTCCGGTAGCGCCACCCAGCGGCCGCACCCTCCCGCCGTCCCGGGGACTACGACTCCCGGCGTGCCTTGCGGCGATGCACGCCGGGATCCAGCGCCTTGCCTCGGCAGGCATGGCGGGCGGCCCGCCGCCGCGCCGTGCCGTAAAGCGCCGCGCGTCGCCGTAGCGATCGCGCTGCCCCCTCCCCTGGTTTGCGACGGTGCCGCGCGGCAGCGGCGGGTGGCGCCTTTGTCCTGGCGGCGGCGGCCTGAGGGGCTCCGGGACCCGCGGTGAGTCTGAGGAGCTCCGGGGTCGACGGGGAGTCTGCGGGGCCGCGGCACCGGCGGTGAGTCTGCGGGGCCGCGGCCGCGCTGCACCGAGCCCCCAGGGCGGCCCGGTCCCTCCCGCCCGCCGGCTGGGGCCGGGCCGGGCGCGCCCCGCGGCCTGCGGGCGGTGCGGGATCACCGGGGCTCGGGGCGGGCCGGCAGCGCCCGAGCCCCGCCGGACGCACGGGGGGAGCGGCCCTGGGGAGCGGCGGCCCGTCCCCGCCGCCCCGGGAGCTGCGGGCGGCCCGCGGTGTCGGGCGGGAGGAAGGCGGGGGCGCTCCCCGCGTTACCGTGTGCGGAGGCCGGGCCGGGGCCCCGGGAGCGCCTCCTGGGTTTTGGGAGGGTCGGCCCCGAGGGGAGCACCCCCGCTCCTCGGCACCGCTGCCTTCTGCCCTCGGTGCGGGCCGTCCCTGCCGGGCCCGCGGACTTCTGGCGGGGTTGTGTCGTGTTTCGCTTGTGGCAAATTAGCTCCAGCTCCCCACTCCGGCAGAACCTTGCTTCCCGAAGCTGTAGCGCTACTAATAAAAAACTTTGGGTTTAAGTGTAAGGATTTTAGAGATGTGGTTTTAATTAACTTCCAGAGGTGCCCTGGGCTGTCCTGTCATAGTTACTCCTTGGGGAAATGGCACCTTTAAGCTGCCCTGGTGCCTCTCTGGCTGCATCCATACAAAAAGATCTAATGTAGGAATCAGTTGTTCACCTGGTGTAACGTGGCCAGAGCTGGGACAGCAACATTCATTTATTCTTATCACTAAACGGCCCTTAACTCTGTGATCTGCTGCGTGGGAAATGGTAAGAGCCAGGAAATTGCTCTTAGATGGAAGTTCTGGAGTAACTCAACTCATCTATGAGTATTGGGGATTTATTGATTGAAGTGGGGAAAAAGGCTCCCTGTTTTTCTTCACGTGGAAGGCTCTTGCACCTTCTTCCTCAGCCATCCCCACCCTTGAGGAAAAGAAAAGGGGATTTTTTTACAGCTTTTTTTAAGTTGGAAGTGGGATGTCCCACCAGCAGTTGGGGGCCTGTTTGACACCTGTTAGCTGTGTGTGTCTGTGACATCCCAAGACCGCCCCCACAGATGTGGCCTCTGCAGAGGCTCTGTGTCCCTGTCCCTGGTGGTGCTCAGAGCTGGAGAATCCATCCTGCTCCTCATGGGAGCTCGGGCCAGATGGGTCCTTCCAGGTTTTGTTGCCGCTTTGTCCTTTTGGGGGAGTGTTGAAAGCTTCTTTCCCCTCAGCTGAAGAGAGCTTGAGCTGCAATAGTGGAATAGAAATCCAGTGCTTCCATACAGAAAAATGTGATGGAATTTGGGCCTTCTGATGGGGAAGGTAAAATTGTGTGTATGTGTGTGTGTGTGTGTGTGGACAAACTTGCAGGAGGATTGGGGCAAAAGTGATAGAATGAATTTTGTTGGATTTTGGGTTGGGTGTTGGGTTTTTTTCCTCCTCCCTGTTCTGGCAGTTCATTTTAAGAAGTTTATTAGACAGGGAGCCTTTCTCTGCCTCCCATTTCTGCAGGCTTTCCCCCCCCAAAAATAAAAGGGAAGAGTGATACAAGTGTGAAACTGATCGATCTTTGAAGAATAAATAAATAAATTTTATGTCTCAAATCTGGAGTAGATGTATTTTTCATGCCAGTTAAGTGTTGTAAAAGTGTTTACATGAAGCTGGGTTTATGTTTTGGGACATTTGACTTGTTTATTTAGAGATGGCTTTTAAATTGTATCCTCTGGGTTGCTGCTAGGGATTGTGGTGGTTGTAGGCCCCACATGATTAACAGGAGAAGTTTCTGTTGATACACTCAAATTTCATCAGCTTTCCTTTTCCAGGCTTCTTGCATGCTGCAAGCAGAAAATCCCATCCTGCATTCCTCTAGGTGAATGTTTAGGAAGTAGGACAACTTTATTAAATAGTTTTCTAACTTTCAAGTTCATCTTGAAAGTTCCAGGGTTATCCCTTTCTTCAAGCTTCATCTGGTGGTGAATTTTAAACCAGAAAGTCTGAATTGTGGGGGTGGTGTTTTTTTATTGGCTTGGTGGTGTTTGTTATGTTATTTTTGTTTGTTTGTTGGGGCTTTTTTTGTAATTGTTTGGGTGAGTTTGTGCAGTGAATGTTGCTGACTGCTCCAGCTGTGTGCAGGGGTGTGGGCTATGGGAATGTGCTTTTGCTGCATAGGGGAGGTGAGGAAGGGTGCAGAATTTACCTGGAGGGAGGGTTTAATTCCCAGCTGTGGACCCGCCTGCTGTGGGAGCTGACACCTCCATGGGGACAGGGATTTGCTGTCTAACAGGGGTGCTTTCTGGAATTGGAAAGCTGAGATTTCGCATTTAGTGAAGTGATCCAGGTGTGGTCACTTAGGAGCGTTTCAGCAGTACATCCTGATGCCTCATTCCGAGCCTTATTGGAATATTTGGGTGCTGTTATGCAATGTTGCAATGAGTGTTTCCTTTCCGCTTATTAAAATATTGCATAAATTTCAACGCTTCTTGCCAGCGGATTGAAGAACTAGATGGGACAACAATGGGTGTATTGAAAAGCTTAAAGTTAAGGCTTTTTAGTGGAAAATTAGTGCTGTTTGTATCGTAGTTTGGAGTTAAACCATTAAAAACCTATCTGCAAAATAATTAGGTTTGCCACCTTTCGGTGTTACAGAAAAGCTCAACCAAAATGCTGCAGTGAACGTTTTTTTGCCTGACCTCTGTGTCCCTCGTGTTAAGATTTCTCTGGAGTGAAGTTTGCGTCAAGCAGACCCAGTTGGCTCCTAGTCTGCAAAGCTGTTAAGTTTAATCTTGTTCCAGTTTAATTTTTAATGTCATGGATTGAAATTATATGCATGGCCATTTTTCTTTTTTGCGAAGAGTTGGATTTGGAACGAAAGCAAAATGGCTCGAGGACGCAAGAGCAATAGCATCAAACAGAGCGACTTCACTAACAGCACCAATCCTCAGGATTTAGAGAGAAGACTTTTTGTCGGCAATTTGCCCACAGACCACATGACTCGTGAAGAAATGGAAGAGATATTTTCAAAATATGGCAAAATCAGGGGTTAGTATATTATCTTATGGCTTTTTGTGGCAGGGATTTCAGTGAGAAGTATCACTTCATGCTTGTCAAATGCTGTTTGATGGTGATGAGAGGAGTGACTAATGTTGTTCCTAAAAAGTGACCTTTTAATGATAATTTTCTCTGGAAAAGCCATTCCTTCAGTACAGCTCAAATGTAATGCAAATCTATCAGCTGTGTTTTAGCTTTTGGGGTCACGGTGTGATGCTACAATGCTCTCTCAAGTGACTTCATAGCCTCTCAAATCAAATCCTGGTCACTTCATGGGCTGTATTTTGGTCACTGCCTTGTCAGAAGGGAGTGTATCAGAGCCTTTGAGCTCTGCATTTTGATCCTGGTGGATTTTTTTTTTTTCCCCGGAGGTGGGTAGAGCCCCCGTGGGAGTTGAGCTGGTGGGGTTAGGTGTGGGGCGGCACTGTGGCGTGGTTGTAACCGGTCTTGCCCTGCTGTTAACTCTTGCAGCCCTCAGCATGTACCATGGCTATGGGTTCGTGCAGTATGACCGTCTAGAAGATGTCCAGGCCGCTCTGGACGGTGAGAAGGGTCGCCTTTATAAAGGGTATAGATTAGGTAAGGAAAACTGCTACGCGCTCTGCGGACCCCCAGCATGCGTTCGGGAGAAAGAAAGAGTGCTTTGGTTTTAAAGCTCCCTCAAACTTGCCCGGCCTCGGTCTCAAATTTGCTTTTCCTCAGGGTGGATTTGCCTCCTGAGTTCCCGCTCTGTGCTTCACCTGCAGTGGGAAGGCTCACCTTGCTGCCTGGGTCTTACTCTGATTTTTTTTTTTTAACGTGTTAGCGCTCGGGAAGCTCTGTTACCCTGGGTAAGAAACTGTGCAACAAGTAAAGCCCTGGAAAGCGATCCTTGAAACCTCCAGCACAGTTTAATAACATTTGTAAACCAAAACTGGGCTTCATCTTGACATGCTTGGAGAAACTGGTCACAGCACTTAGCGGTTGGTTGGATAAGTAACCTTAACTCGGATTTTTGCCCATGTGGAACCAGCCTGTTAAGCAGGGCTATAAATACTGAGTACTTTAGAAAGGACATTTTCATAAAGATGAAGATAATTCTGCTAAATGTGCTGGGAGCAGACTTAAATGGAAATGAATGGTTAGAAATCCACAAGTAATCTTCTAAATGGAAGGAAAAAAAAATTACTTTGAAGTAAGCCTATGCTAATTTGGAGCAAAACAGTTTGACTTAGAAAAGAATGAAAGGAGCAATAAATAGTATCCTGTGGGAAGGTGTGTGTACAGTAAAAAATAGGAGCCTGGAGATGGAAATGGAGGCAAATAGACGAGGAGGATAGAAGGATACAAGAGGAATTGATGTCCAGCATTGTCCAAGTGTAGTGGCTGTTTTAGAAACTAAGGGGTAACTGACTGGAAATGATAAAATTTGTAACTGGAGAGGACCAGTTGATGTTTCTGCTCTCTGTTTTTGAAGAGGCAGATGGTGTGTTTAATATAATTTCCATTTCAGTAGCAAAACAAAAAGGTAAAACTGCAGATACCAAAACTAGACCTCTCAAAAGAATTGACATCTCTGAGGCTCAGTGAAATGCAGACCTGCCTAGGCTGTTACTGGTGTTTTTCCACAAGCCTGGGAAAACTAGGGAGTTTCCAAGGAGCCAGTAGAGTGCTGCAGGTCAGCCAATAGGCAGCATAAATGGGATGAGCCTGGCACCAGCACCTGGAAACAGAGGGATTCTTTCACCTGACACTGGTGGGAAGGGAATTGATTAGTGCCAATCAAAATAAATCCTGTCTAACTTATGGTACTGCAAGCTCTGTGGCTGGAAGAAGCAGATGTACAGATTGCTGTAAGGGGTTTGGTTTGTTAAGAAACTAGAACAGTTAAAACCAGCAGAGTTAAATGGATCTCACGTGAATCTCAGTGTGACATGGATGGAATTTCTCAGGGCTTTGAGTCATGGTCTGGAAGAACTGATTCCTGGCCATACAGTACTTTTAAAGGTGACTTGGAGAGAAAATAGTGTTTTGAAAAGAGAATGAGGTAATGAGGATTGAGTCACTGATGGTGAAAGGACCTGGACTTCTTAAGCTGGATGCAGACAGACCTGAGCTTTCAGTGAAGCCAGAAGGGAAGGTCTGTTCCCAGCCAGTGCTTTGGACATCCTTGGCCCTACAGAACACAGGTGTGCGAGCAGGGAGGTTTTTGGTACCTCTGGGGCTTCGCTGCTGGAATATCATGTTCAGTTCCGGTTTGCCGTGTTCGAAAAAGGATAATGCTAAATTGGAGAAGCCTTGGAAGAACCTGAGAGAGGTTTAGAGTTAAAGAACAAAAGTAGCAAAAGCCTCAAGAGGGAAAGGAGCGATGTGATCTGTGTGTTACAGGCAGACCTGGAGATGAGGGAGTTTTAATCTGGTAGGCATAGGTGTGACAGTTCCTTAAATGGGAATAAATAGTTTTCTTTAACAGCAGAGTTATTGGCTTCTGGGGTAACTTATTGGACCTTTGGTGGTTTCTGTGCTCTGAAGGCTTTTAAATTGGAATTGGATGTTTTGCTAAAAGATAAGCCTTAGTTCAATGCCACTGCTGCACTTGAGATAGGAATGTGATTCCAGAAACTCCTGTCACCTGTGTTTGTTCAGAAGGTTACACTGTGATTACAGTGGCCTTATCATCTCAAAATCCTACAGGATAGAAGACTTTTGTTTGCCTTTTTTTTTTTCCTGAAGTTTTGTCAGTGTTCAAAACTTGACTTGTAAATGCTATTCACATTAAATAAAGTGTTATTAAATCTGTTCATTTTGCATAAGAGAAGGATACCCATTTTTTTTTCTTCTAGTTAAGTATTTTTGTGCAGAATTAAGTATTTTTTTATTTGAAATAAATGTATTGAGTGTAAAAATCATAATAGGTTTCTGCAATGGCATCTTAAAACAGAAAATAAAAATAATCTTAAACCAAAGAAAGCAGCTAGTGTCTTGCTTAAAGATAACACTTGACTTTAAGGGGAAAAAATTACCAACTAAATAATAAATGCAAGGAGAACAGTTACTTCAACTATGCAGCCTGAGTATTAAATATAATTGCTGATAACTCAACAAGGTAAAATGTTTGGGGAGAGTTTAACTCCAGTGTAGCATCATACAGGTATTCCCACAGATGCACAGAAGTATTTTCCTATCTTTAATGACTAAAACTATGTAGAGAGTAAATATCCTCCACGTATATTTTGTGACAGTAGAAGCTGCAGCTCTTTTTGTTCCCGGAAAGATACTTTGGGGTCCTGTGAATGTTGTTATGCTGCAGGTGTAGTTAATGTTCAGATTGTTCTCATTTTTCTCCCCCTATAGAAAGGCAACATGCTGCTGCTTCATTGAGAACAAGAGCAAAAATTAGACCTGATCCCTTAATTCCAATTTTAGTCTTGAAAATGATAGAGAATAGTTCGGGAAGTTACAACATTGAGTCTGCCTAAAGACATCGTGGCGTGTTTATTCTCTTGCAAGGGCTTGAGAGTAGTTAATGCAAATAACTCATCAGAAATGTTAGCTGTTGATAGATTCTGAGGGAGCAGATAGGGCCTATGTTTGGTTTGTTCTTTTCCTTAAAAGGCTCTCAGTAAAATGTCCAAAGTCACTTCTGTTTGCTCTTGCCCCACTCCAGTGCATTCTTTCATCTCCAGTCAGCTGTCATGGGAGACTTTGTTTCTTAACAGTAGAGCAGTGTGGGTCCCTGCCAGTTCTGGGCAACTTCACTTTTGCTGGTTGAGAACAAGACTCTGTTTCTTCAGCTGTCTTAACTTCTTTGTGTTTCACTTCATGGTGTTTTTCATGGAGATGTTCCGAAGCCAACCAGTTTTCAAATTTCCCATCTGTTGCCTCAGTTTGCATCATGTTAACAGTGGTGTTTTGAGTGCACCACGTTGACTTCACGAGGAGCTCGTGCTCCAGGCTCCCGGATCCCATTTCTCAGTGGTGGGGGCTGTGCACCTCAACTGCAGCAGTCCCTGGGAAGGCAGTTGCAAGTGCCACTTGAGAACCCTTGGATTATTTCCGACAAGGGTAGCAGCATGCTCCGTTGAACAGGACTGGCTGTGAACTTAAGACTGTGCTGGCCATCAGACCTTTCTTGGAGGTTTTCAGACTCTGCTTTTTCTCCTAGAGTCCATGAGTCGCTTTCTGCTTGCTCATAGACTGCAGAAGAAAGAGGTTCTCTTATGGAATGACGAGTCTGGATGTAGGCCTGAACATACAGGGTTAAAACTTCACCCAAAGCTGTCCACCCTATTTTGAAGTCAGAGAAATCCATGAAATTTTCATTATGTTGTACTATCTAAACTTAATAAAAAATTGTCAAAGTGACAATGTCTCTCTGCTGAATGGATTTTCTTGCACCATCTGGATGTTGTTGAGCTTAAGTTGCTTTCATTTGAATTGTGCTGATGATCTTTTTTTTTGTTTCATAGCATTGAACAGATGGGTTGATTATTCTTTACAGATATTAATAAAGCAGTGGAAAGAAGAAATATGAATAAGGCTTCATCAAGGTCCAGTCCGACGCGAAGGTAAAGTACCTGGAAGCAGTGAGTTATACTAGGAATTCAGGCCTCCAGGGCATGAGCCCAGTGGCCTGTGCTAAATGTCTGTGTCTCTTCCCTACCGCCACCTCCTCACTTAGACAGCTCCGGGGAGACAGTCGGGACGTGGCTGCTCCACCTCTGGGAGCCCTTCTGGCTCTGACACCTTGGGGGGCACGAGGGAAACCTTGTGTCTGCTGCTCTTACTGCAGCCAAGCATTAGGTTTTGCAGCACAGGCTGTAGGAGACTCGTGAGGAAGAGCACCCTTGATGTTTGCTCCTGCCTCCAGCATCGGAGAAACCGAGGCACAGCTAAAGAACACCAAGGGGCTGCAGCACAGCACCGGGAATGCTGCAGAGGACTTCGGGGTCTTGCCTTTTCTGATGGTGAAAGCTTCCAGTGTGAGAATGGGACTGGAAAAGAGCACTTCAGTGAAGCACAAGACAGAGCAAAATGTCTCTTGCACGGTCCTGCCTGCACCTGCACTTGTGTTTTCTGTGCCTGGAGCCCCCTCTGTGCAGTCACTGACTGTACCCTCCAGCTTCTGATTTACTGCCCCTCGGTGGGCACAGTGTGATTTCCCTCTGTGTGGGAAGTCACAGGCAAGGGGAGGAGACATGGACTGACCTGCCACAGGAGGACTACTTCAGTTTCCACAGCATTACTAGGGAGCACACAAAGACGTGCTGTGATGTAGTTTGGGATAAGGCATCCACCCTGTGTGCCTGTACTGTAAAGTTTTCCACACAAAGGAGTGATTCTCATTGAACTTGAAGGTAATCAAGCTCCCACATATCTGGTGTTCTTTACTAACTTGACCTGTTAAATTACCAAAAATGAGAAAAAAGTGTGACTAGCAGGACATCTACACCAAAAAAAAAAAAAAAAAGCCCAGAGAATGAGTAGCTTTAATTCTTGGCACCATTTATGTTTTTTATGTGCTGCACTTACCCTGCACAGGGCCAAATGTGCCTGCAGAGAGCAGTGGGTGGGTGTCAGGCCCAGGAAGTGCTTTGGGCACACAGCTCTTGTTCTGTGGGTTCCTGTGACAGGTGCAGCAAACCTTGGGCCAGGCAGAGTCAGGTGTGCTCCGTGCTGGTGTGAAGACCTTGGGAGCACGTGAGCAGCAGGCGCTGAGGGCATGTCTTTGACGGTGCTGTGCAGCACTGCAGGGGTGAGGGGCAGGCGCCCGTGCCAAGAGCATTGGTCCTCTCGGACGGTGCTGCAGAGGGACAAGCAGCAGGCACTGATGCCATGGGCATCGGAACCTGTGTCATCCTGCTTGTGTGACATGCCCGTGTCGTGGCCCTAAGGAGCCCTGGAGGTACGTGAGCCGTGGTCCTGTGGGCACCAGGCTGTGGACTGAACTGCTACGGCTGCCAAAGGCTTTGGTGCTGCTGTGACAGGCACTGGATTCCAGCTGGCACTGCAGACACAGCGGTCATCCCATGTGGTTAGCACCACGTCCCAAGCAGCACCATGGGAATGGGTGGCGATGAACTCTCAGTTATCAAGTCCTGGGCGTGGCTGTGGGCGATGGAGTCTGGCCCACGCCGTGGCCTGGAATCACAGCTGGCAAAGCCGGGGTGCAGAGCCCTGCGCTGCCGGGATGGCAGTGCCACGTCCTGAGCAGATGCAGGGTAGTGGTGCTGACCCTGCAGGAGTTGGACCATGGGGACTGAGGTGTGGAAGCAGAAGGAACTGTGCCTTTGTGCTGCCACCTCCCTGGAACCGGGTGGGCACGAGAGCCGAGGGGAGTTGTGCCACGTCTCTCCTCCTGTCGCAGTTGTGCGTTGTTCATTCCAGATCGTTTTGTCTCTGCGGATAACGAATGTGGCCTGTTCTGGTCACCCCCACTCCAGCGGAATAAATGTCATATGCCAAACAATTCCCCTGCATTTGGCTGTTTTGCTAAATGGTCTCACAGCTACGGAAAGATCAGCTACTTGACTTCCATTAGAGCAAGTCGTAAGTCTACCCTGAGCTTCTGCCATCGTTCATTGTAGGTTTGGGGGGAAGGGGGCCATGGCTCTCACAGGATGCGGTTTCAATGCAGATCACAAACAAAAAGCACATTGCCTGTCCAAGAGGCTGAGGGAGTTTGCACTTATTTGTCTCCAAATAGCGTCTCTTACAGGAGGAGGCTGTTTATACTCTTGGTGGCAACTCCAGTTTGTCCCAAAATCTGGCTTATATCTAACACACGAACAGAGAACGCCAGCACTCCTGTGTGCCCCCAGCACAGCTGGGTGTCCGACACCAAAGTCCATGCACAGATCTTGTTCCTGTCCACTCTGCCTGACCCTGAACTTGGGCACATCCGACTTGCTGTTCTCTTCAGGTGACCGCTACGTGATTGCACTGCAGTAGGCACAGACTTACCTTCTGCTTGTCTTTCATAAACTAGATTAGGCTGGTTGAGAACTGTAAAAGTCTTGTCAAGTTCGGGAAATAAAAAGATTCAAAAAGCTGAGTTTTTTCCTGATGGTTGTCAGTATTTTGGGGAAAGAGTATTCCAAACACATCAAGCTCAGTAGTTTCTCTGCAAGTTTTTTTTTATGTTTGGCTGTGACTACAGTGAAGTTATGCTTTTTTCTGGAAAACGGAGTGCAACTTGGAAAAACACTACTGTTTTGGGAAAAGACGAAGACTGGAACATTATTCTTCCTTGCCTCTGAAGACAGTGCAGTACAAAGTCTGAATGAGCTGGATCATTCAGATCCGACAGAGAAGCCTGTTGCGACTGCTGAGGATGCAGTGCCGGTTGGGTTTAGTACCCTCTTAACGTGTGGCTTCATAAACATAAGACTGACTTTCTACAGAAATATCCCTCAAATCCAGGACACGGCAGTAGCTGTTATTGCTTTCTGTCAGCAGCACAAACGCAGCCACAGCATGGAACCTGCTGTGTCTTTGGTCACAAGCTGCTCCTTTTTTAATCATACGCCAGTAACGTTATGTCAGGTGTTCTGCTGTCATGGAGGAGTGAATTTAATGGATCCCTTGAACACTCCCGGCTGTCACATATTTGTAGGTAGTAGCCTACATCACCTTAAATTCTCTCAGGGAATCTGCAAAACATGTTTGATGGACGATCTGTGGCTGACGTTGGAGGACAGAGGCCTTGAAATGGTGGTTTCTGAAGTGCCTGTTCTCTTCTTCCACAGGTGCTCTACACTTTTAGTGATGCTCCATTAAGGAGCTTTCTGGGTCTTGTTTGACTGTGAACGAACATTAGAATTAAAAACCTTCTCCAGACTTCTTCAAAAATACGATTTTTGGGTAATTTTTGCTGCTGTGGGATAGGAGGGAGGATTCAGCTGCTGAGAGAAGGGTCGCTTTGGCACCTCAGGTAAGAGATCTAGGGATAACTGTACTCGTGTGGTTAGCAGGCTAACGGAATTTCCCCGGTGTTTTCCTCAGAGAGCCATATGCCTACGGGGATGGCCGAGATGCCAGGCGCGACCGCTCCCCTCTTCGGGGGAGCCCACGGAGGGACCCCAGAGATGGCAGGGATGGCAGGAACGGGCGAGATGCCAGAGACGCTCGAGACATTCGAGCTAGAGACATGCGGGACGCCAGAGACCACAGAGACCCACGGGACCTGCGAGACCCACGGGATATCAGGGATCCGAGGGACCTGCGGGACCCGCGTGATGTTAGAGATCTTCGCGACCCACGGGAGCCGCTGTACGACCGATACCGGGATCCGCGGGATATGAGAAATGCGCGGGATGTGAGGGATCCGCGGGACATGAGAGACCCTCGAGACCCTATGTACAGGTAAGCTCGGCCGGATCGTGTTTGCCAATGCGTTCTTACAATGTTTCTGCCGCACCGGCTGCGCTGGTTTGGGTGGTGTCAGGTGTTTGAGGAAATCTCCCTGGCTGGGGAGAGTTGTCCTGTGGGGAGTAGGTGGTATTTCCAGTATATTAAACCTGAGGAAGGTCTCTGTGGGATGCACTGGCCCCAGTCACCGCCTGAGATTGTGCTGGAGCATGGAAACCTTTGCTGTGTCTGTGAACGTTGCAGACGAGATGAGTCCTACGACCGTTACCTGCGCCTTGAGGACTATTACCGGCGCAAGGACGACTCTTACTACGACCGCTACAAGGACCATTTCGACAGACCTCCGGTGAATTCAGATGGTGAGTGCCTGGAATGCTTTAATGGGAGGGTGCAGGGGTGCCGCAGTGCCGACCCCATGGTGGTCTGTGTCCGTCTGAGCAGGTCTAAAGGGCATCCCTTGTTCTGTTTCAGACCGCCTGAAGCGCGAGGAGCGGCGCCGGGAGGAGCTGTACCGTCAGTACTACGAGGAAATCAAGAGGCGTTTTGATGCAGAGAGACCTGTGGATTGTTCCGTGATAGTGGTGAATAAACAGACAAAGTAAGCAAATAATTACGACAGGCTTTATTATTGCCTGGTAGAGGAGAATGCGTGTAAACTTAGTCCTGCCTTGAGGCTGTTAGTCTTGTGGGTTGCTCTTGAGAAATGTGGCTTTAGAGTCCCCAAAAAGCCATAGCTCCTTGTTGCTCTTCCGGGAATGTATGTTGATGAGATGTGGAAATGTATCTTGTGATTGCATTTATTTCCCCCTTGTTACCTATCTCTGTACCTTCTCCTGATACTTTTCCACCCACTCTTCATATCAGCCTGTCATGACAGGCTGAGTTCTGTAGGTTGGCTGCTCTTCTCTCTACCCCTTGGACCTCTGCAGGCATAAATTTCCTCCTTTAATGAGTTCAGTTTAAACATATTTGTGTGAAAAAATTTTTAGCAGTGTAAATCCCTTTGCAAACACTCTCCCTCAGCCAAGCCAAAGCTGGATTTGTAATTCATTTCAGTTAAACTGAAATGACTGATTCAGATCAGAATAAGGCTTTTCTATTACTGTAATGGGATTGCTTTAGTACTGTCCTGATAAACATAATGAAGTCGGGCAAGTCATCAGAAAAGCGAATCTGAGATGGTGGAGAGGGTGAATGTGCCAAGGCTTCTGTTTCTTGTGTGTGACTGGCGTGTTAAACTGCCGGCTTTGCTTCGTGACAGGGAGTACGCGGAGTCAGTGGGGCGGAAGGTGCGGGATCTGGGCATGGTAGTGGACCTGATCTTCCTCAACACAGAGATGTCGCTGACGCAAGCCCTGGACGATGTGAGCAGAGGAGGATCTCCTTTTGCCATTGTCATCACCCAGCAGCATCAAGTTCACCGCTCTTGCACTGTTAACATCATGTTTGGCACCCCACAAGGTACTGAGGTCTCAGTAGGCTGGGAACTGCATGGTCACTCTGAACCTTCCTTTCAGGCAGAATCACACAGGACAAAGGTCGTCCTTGCTGTCACACGAGTAGTTATTAATGACTTGACACGGTGTCATAAATGTGAATGTCATTATTTACAAGCTCCCATAATATTCCGTTTGCCCTTTGTCAAAAGGACTGTCTAATTCCTGCCAAGAGGGAATCTCAGCCGTGTTCTTGGCTTCTAACACTGCCAACCTTCCTGTCTCAGGAAAAATCATGGACCCCAGTGCTAGAAATGGTTGCAGTGCCCTGGGAGATCTCTGAGTAATACCAGCCCAACCTCAGTCTATCACTTGTTGCTCTCAAAGAGAGCCTATTTGGAACGTGACAAATTACAGGATAGATTTCAAATGTGTTTTAATAAAGATTTGGTTAAGCTAGAGATCTGATAATGAAACTGGGAGGAGTTAAAAAAAGGTAGAACTAAAAAGTGTTTGGGTATATGCGCTCTACTTCTTAGAGCCATTACACTTGTCACATCACTTTCCATCTCAGGGGGCGACTCGGTTATTGCATGAAGGGTGGGTGTAGGTATTAAAAATGCCTTGTCAGAATGTAATCTGGGAAAGCAGCCTGTGTTCTGATCATAGGCCTGTTCACATACTCTGTCTGCACAGGTGACTGGTTTGACCAATGTTGAGCTTTCAAAGGTTATTTCTGCTTTACTGTGTTCCCAAGTAATGTTCTGTGAGATCATCTGGGAGAGGAAACATCTGAGTGCACAGTCAGTGGTTGGTGTGGGCTCACTGACTGGAGAAGCCCAGTTTCTTTTAACATCAGATGCAGATGTGATGGGAGGGTTCCCTCATTTCCCGAAGGAGCACAGCTCACGCACACTGTCGCTGGGCTTTCCACTGCCCTTGGTTTTAACTCTTAGCTCCTTTGGTTTAACACCTGTTAAACCTCTGGCGGGAGGCCAAAGCTTCTTTTCTGCACTGGATCTGCCGGTGTATCAGACCTGGTGGGAACCCCAGTCATTAGTTCACCCACAGCTCATTCCAGAGATTAAATACGATCACTTCAACCGCTCGTGGCCACCTTTCCCTGCGTGGTTGTTTCAGGGAACTCTTTCACAACCTGTGCAAAGCATAATGTTAAAATGAACCCCAGTTTCCTGTTAGGTGGAAAAAGCTGGCAGGATTTGATGTTCTGCAGGTATGGACAGTGCCCTGCCCAGAGCTTTGGGCACTTTTTGAAAGGTAAAGGCTCTTTTGATCTCCATGCTTAAATCTGTGCTCAGGAGAATGTTTGCCTGTGTGCTTTGGGAGGTTGAAATAAGGACCTCAAAACACACTGTTGGAATTGGCCATTATTCATTTTATCACAGAAGAACTCGATTGCTGCTTGTTGTCCCAGAGTGGTGAATGTGAGCAGCCATGTGACACTAAGCCAGTGCTGCTTCCTCCCCACCTGCACGAGCACACGCAGTGTTAAGGTGTTGGCAGTACAGAAACAAAAGTGTTCCCATGGCTGTCCTCCTCTAGGAAGCCTACAGCCTTCAGAGGGCAAGTTTTGGGTCTGTCCAAGGGTTTAGCAGTAAAATGACTGGAACTGTCTCCTCTTGAAGCGCCGAGGATTTATGTGAGAGGTAGAGGGAGCTGCTTTCCCTTTTAACTGGTGAGAGGTAGGAAGGACATTTCTGGGATGACAGGATGTCTGCTTAGAGCTTTGGGCCTTGGAAGGAAAGGCTGGCCTTGCTGGGTGATAGCTGTAGGCCTTTTGTTGGCCTTGGAAATGTAACTGTTTCCTGGGAAGCTCCCAAGTCTGCACTGGCACTCCCTGGGCAGTGCCTGCTGCTGCCTGTGCTGTGCTGGCGACTGAGGGGAACGGCACCTCCCTCAGTGTCACCTCAGGTCACTCAGAGTGTTTCTTTCCCTGTGCAGAACACCGCAACATGCCCCAAGCTGATGCCATGGTGCTGGTGGCAAGGAATTACGAGCGCTACAAAACAGAGTCCCGGGAGAAGGAGCGGGAGGAGATCGCCCGGCAGGCTGCCAAGATGGCAGACGAAGCTGTTCTGCAGGAGCGGGAGCGCCCACCCCCCATGGAGGAGGGTGTCAGGGGAGGTCACCCTCCCGGGATCCAGGCTCTCTTGAACCTGCTGGCAGACAATCGCTACCTGACTGCTGAGGAGATAGATAAAGTCATTAATTACCTGAGGGACCGGAAGGAACGGTTACTGCGGGGCAGCACTGAGTCTCTGCAGGGTGAGTCTCTCGGCCCCAGGCAAGGTTTATCATGGGGTTTGTGGCCCTCGGGGCTGGGACAGGAGGAGAGTCCTGGGACCACAGAGGATTCTGGGAGCACGATTTTACTGAGATGGACGTGTCCTTGGGAGTCCTGAGACAATTTAGAGTTTTCATGTGGAAGACCTTTTATAGTGGATTCTCTCAGGGCACCCACGGGACTGCCATAACTGATTGGGCTGCTACACTCAGTTCTGCAGTTTTGGGTTCCCAGAGCTGTGCAGCTCCGATCAGAGGGTGGGTGTTCACTGATGCTGTGTAGCTGTTTCACTTTAGATGCCCCTTTAAGGGCATTTGCAGAGCTTTAACCACCTTTCCTTTCTTTTGCAGCACCCATGTCAAGACAGTCTTTGGGGACACCTTCAGGATCATCACTGGGTAATCAGTCCAACCTTCCAAGCTCTCAGACTCATCAGGGTTCACAGCCTCTGGTCTCTACTCCTTCTGTTCCAGTGTCCTCTTCTAATCCTCAGCAGGAGCTTCAGGCAAAAATCCTCAGTCTCTTCAACAGCGGGGCGGCAGCAGCGGCAGCTGCCGTGGCAAACAGCAGTCCTGCCGCCCCCGCGGGCTCTTCGGGCAGCACTCCCAACCAGAACTTTGCTAACCTGGCTGGTGGGCAGCCCCGGCCAGCACAGATGAGCGCTGGAAACCTAAACCAGGCTCAGCAGAGATTGCAGACTCCAAGCGCGCAGCTTCCTACTCTGCCAGGCCCTTCGAGGAACGCGGGTCCGAGACCTGGGGCTCCCCCACAACCTCAGCCGCTCTATGGTCAGCACCAGACCCGCCTCCCTGCGCCTGGCAGCGTGCCCGCTCAAAGGCCGGTGTCTTCTGGTATCAACTTTGACAACCCCAGTGTACAGAAAGCCTTGGACACCCTCATCCAGAGTGGTCCTGCGCTCTCCCACCTCGTGAGCCAAACTGTGGCCCAGGGGCGAGCAGGGTCCTCAGCCCAGCAACCAATGGGCTCCTACCAGCGACACTATTAGAGCTGAGCCCTGAGGCCTGTTCCCCTTCCCTTTGCCATTCCATACTTGTAGCTGTTTAAGGATAAAGTCTCCCATCCTTGACCCGGGACAGATGCCCTGGACGTGCATGTCCTCTCCACTCTGGTGAGAGCATACCCCCCACAGCATTGCTGTCGACGGTTGCTGGTGCTGCCCTCCCTCTCCTTGACCTGGTTAGCAGTGTTTGGAGCAGAATGCTCGGTTTTCTCTGCAGCACAGTGTTGGATCATTGGTTGTGTTGTCCCATCCCAGGTATCAGTCCTGCTGCATTTTCCTCACTCCCAGCACCTGGTGCACCTTCCCACTGAGGTGCAGTCTGGGCTTACTGAATGGTCTCATTGTAGTTTTGGGTCAGTGGTTTTGAGGAATTAAGGGACTGGACACAGTGTCGTGCTGATGGGCCTTGGACACCCACTGCTGTGGAATGGGCACTATTTTTCTTTGGAATTCCTTTTTTTTTTTTTTTTTTCTCTTTTAATGATGTATAAACCAGTTGGGAAGTACAGTGATAGCACCAGCAGCAGAAATTGTGAAGCACATGCCTGACCACTGCTCAGTAACCAGGACTGTGCCGTGCAGTCCCTCCATGCTGGCCTGCCCTGTCCCGGCAGGGAGGCACGTGCTCCTCACCTCGCCCTGGGCCGAGCACAGATCTGCAACACAAGAGCTTCCAGCCAAGGCAGAGGCTTCAAATGGTCTGTCGATTTTCCTACACCAAGTAATCAGTATCAAGGTCAGTCTGTTAAAATTTGGTGTATAAATTTCCTTTTCTTACAGCCTTTGGGACGGTTGTTAGTGTAGCTCAGCTGCAGCCATGCCGATATGCTGCTGGTCCCCCCTGGGAATACCCAACACTAGGTACCGGGGGGAATCCTGCTCTCTGAAACCTCACCTTGTTGTTCTGAGGGGCGTTCTGTCCATCTGAGGAGGAGAGGCAGTGCCAAGACGCAATACCATAATTTTATACGTTTTTTCCAACGCTCTGGTAGCTGCGGCAGACAGTGGAGTGGAAGATCAGGCAGTGATTCTTCACTGTGTTTTTAACCAGTAACATACTTTGATATCAGAACACAAAACATCTTTAACTGTGTGGTCCTCCCCATCATAGCCTTCTTGGAGTCTGTGGGCTTCCTGCAGAGACCCAAGAGACACTGAGAAAGCAGAGGATATACTTTGTCCCAGGTGGTTTTGTGTTGTAGCATTTATTTTCTCTCTGTGCTGTTAACAAGAGGATATTACTTTCTAATAAAAGGCCATAAAAATTATTTGTTGCATTTTTTGACACCTAAGTACTCCTGGAGTACATTACTCTGCTGTGTTTGCTGTTACTCTCCTCTCCTGGATGAGCTGTGCCAGATGCTGCTCCGTGCTGGATGCTGAGCAGAACATGTGCAGACCTCTACAACCCCACAGCCGGGTAAAGCACCTCTGCTGGGGTGATCAGAAACTGTGGCCCCTGGGGAGAGGCTGTTCCTCTCCTTGTGTTGTGCATCCTCTGCAACCTGCTGCTCCCTGTCAGGGCTTGCTCTGTGTTAATGGCAGTGGTGCAAAATAGCAGTGGAGACCTGCAAGCAAGTGAAAAGTCCCCGTGCAAGTAGTGAAGGGTGTAATAAAATCATTTATTGCATTTTGTGCAGACAGGAGTCTAGAAAAATGAATACAGGTAAAGCAAGTAAAGCAGTAACAGGGAGCATTCAACAGCTGAGGAGCCACTCCTCCATGGACACCTGCACAGAGAACACGGGGTCTGCACCGAGGCGGCCTAATGCACAACACTGAAACACGCACAGAAATTAAATGCAAGCCTAATACTTCTTTTTTTTTTTTGGTTTGCAACCTGTTTTATTTACAAGGTTTTAAACTTAATTGCATTGCTCTGCACACAGATTCTCTAAAACACAAAGCATTCTAGGTCACTACATGTCTATTGAAATATTGCACTCGAATAAAAGTCACTTGAATGGACGGAGAACATCTAGCTACAGTGATTAAAAGAGTATTGAATGAACTGACTTCGTGATAACATTCATAACAAATATATTGCACATGTAGCACAGAAAGTGTTGTAACCAGCAAATCTCAGACCTTTCGGTCTTTCTGCTAGTTTTTAGTCCTGCTACACAGAGGAGGGTCTTGACTCTTCTAGTGCAACTCTTGCCTTTGTGCGGTCTCCTGTCCTTCCTCTCGTCCAGCCACGGACCAGCACCCGCCCAGGCTGGATGCTGCCTGTGCTTCCCGTCCCTGCTGCCCTGTGGCTCACTGCCTGTGCTGCGTGGTGGCCACAGCGACCTGAGCTGCCGCTACCGCTGCCACTCGTGGGGGCCAGGGCTGTTGGCACCCCCGCAGCAGGGACGGGAGCACACAGTGCTCCCCGCCTGCTGCGGCCGCGCTCCAGCCCACCCTCCCGCGGGTCGTGCTGATCAGTGCTGCTCCCAGCAGCAGCCTGCCTGTGAAACAAACTGGGGGGTCAAGACCTTCCTGTCTGGAACAAAAACCGGACCGTGTCTGCTCATGTGCCAAGGAGGAACTTGCATGTCTACCAGAGGAGGACACTGTCTTCACCACGGTGGAGCGGCAGAAGGGTGCTCCATGGGGAAACTGAACACTCACAGAGGCCAAACGTGCAGGGCTGGGTTTGTAAACTAACATGCAGTGCTGTCTGCTAAAACTGGCCCTCTCCAGCGGACGGCGAGGGGACGCGCTGTGGAAACCAGCTCCTGTCTTGCCACAGCCAAACTGCCTGGCAGGGGTGTGGGGGCAACCCTGGCTCTGTCCAGAGCTGTGTCCCTGCTCTTGCTGGATGATGGGGAAGGGGGAACGCCTTTTTTCAGCAGTAGTGACCAAAAGGGCTGGCCTTCTTTCTCCCTGGCGGAGCCAGGACCGTGGCTTTGCCATCGGGATGGAAGTGGTGCTGAGGGGGAATGGGATCCGCTGACGATGCTGGGGGGATGGAGCAAACCTCTCAGCAGAGAAGCGTGCCCTGGCTGCTCTCACGTCACTCCCAACCACCCTGTACCTGCAGCCAATGGAGGAGCCCCTCACAGGGAGGGTCAGGGTGGGAGCTGTCTGCGTGTAACCTGCCTCTGCCCTTAGCACTGACCTGCTGGGGCAGGAGGGGACCGGGCTCGCTGCCTCAGGCCCAGCAGGGCAGCAGCCAAGCTGCAGTTAAAGGGCGACTGCAGGGAGCGTGGTGGCATCTCGTGAAGAGGCAGAGCAGCTGGCAAGCGTTCGAGGCCCGGCACATGAGCCGCGTGGGCAGGCTGCCAGGCCTCTCCCACTGCCGGGCCTCCCCCGCTGCTGCCGAGGTGCCTCAAATAATTTTGGGAGGCTGGAAACAGCACGTGAGCCTGTGTGTGGTGGGGTAGGGCCAGCTCCAAGGGGCAGAGCAGCTTGACACTGGCAAAGCCCTGGTTCCCGTGGGCTGCCCTTCCCGAAACTAAAGGAACTTTCCACTTGCAGACTCCCGCCTGCTCTTCTCACCGCTGAGGCAGCGGCAGGACCGGAGAGTGCTGCCCTGTGCATCTGCACCGTTCATCAGCCCCAAGCTCCTGTGCTGAAACCAGGTCTTAGCTCAACCTGGCAGTCCCCCTGTAAACACTGAGCTCCCCATGCCCATGGGACTGGCTTCCACAGCAGCATCTGCGACGCAGACCTGCAGCCATGCAGGCAGCCGAGCTACCCTGGCAGAAACTCTGGCTGTGACTGGGACTGCTGCTGGAGACAAGGGAGGCACTTTGGGAGTGATGGAAATGTAGGAGCAAGGTATGAGCAGGCACAGATGTGCAGCTGGGGCTTGGTTTTGGTCTAGGAGTGTGTCCAAGTAGTATCTTAGAGAAAAAAAAAAAAAGAAAATAAAATCCAACATCAAAAAACCCACTGCTTTTTATCCAAGCATCCCCAAATAGCTTTGGCCTGGACCTGGAGGAGTAGAGGAGTTCTGCAGAGGGAGCGGGGGCTGGAGTGTCCAGTGCAGAGGGGGTTTCCTGCTCTCAGGGAGGCGGGAGCCAAGGTTGGCAGGGGGACAGGTGGGCAGGGGGCTGGGATTAGTCAGGGCTGCCCGTGCCAGGCAGGAGGCAGCTGCTGCCTGGATGGACACCCGTGGGGATGCTGCTGCAGCACCCGCTCCCTCTGCACCTGGTGCAGTGCAGGGCAGCACTGGGGAGCTGTCTGGGGGGCTGAGAGGGCAAGTGCTTCAGCGTGGGGGCTCAGCTCTGGCCGAGGATGAAGTGCTGCCTCAGGGGCCAGGCTGGCACAAAGCCGCCAGCGCTGCCGGGAGAGGGCAACTCTTAGCAGGCTGCACTTTGAGTGGAAGCTCAAATCTGCTGTGAAACAAGTTCAGAAAAGTCTGTGACTTCTTTTCCCTGAAAACTCTTTAAGAAGCTAAATTGAGAAGAGAATGAACCTGCGACCTGGCCCTTTCCCAGGGGCTGCTGGTGGCTGGGGAAGGCTGCAGCCTCCACCACCGCTCTGGAGCACTCGGTGCAACGGATGGGCTCCTGGTTTGTGCAGGAGCGGCCCGGCTCAGCTCCCTGTCCCTGCGGCCTGGTGCTAGCAGAGCCCTGCATCTCTCAGAATAGATATAGATCTCTATATATAGACTTCATCTGGTTCTATTAACATAAATATGATCACTTTAAAAATACACGTACTGTATTATGTACACTATGTACATGGGGCTGGGGCGGGCGCCGGCGGCACCCTGCTGCCCTCGCACCGCTTCCTGCGTGGTTCCTGGAACCGTTCACATTTGTTAAAAGCGCCTCAGTTTCTCTGCTGTAAGAGATGCTGGGAGGGAACGGCGACGGGGGCGACCCTGCAGCTGCTGCCAAAGATAAGAGGTGTTTGATCCTCCCCAGTGGGCCCTGCTGCCCGCGCGCGGGGGCTGACTCTGCGGCGTGGCCGGCCGGGTGAGGGAGGGCCGAGATGCTGGGGGGCGGTGGGACCCCTACAGCCTCCACCTCGCTGCGGGGTCTGGCTGGCCAGACCAGCAAACAGCCTTTGCATATGTTAAAAATACACACAGACCCAGACTGTCCTACAGCCCCCGGCAGCATCTGCGTCTGCCAGGGGCCGGGGCCGGGTTAGCAGCGAAGCCCTGGGGAGCAGCAGGGAGCGCAGCGGGATGGGGGGGACCTGGACACACGTGCAGGTGCTGGGGCCAGCCAGGCTGGCTGGTGCTGGGCCCTGAGAGCCCCCAGTGCAGTGCAGCAGAGGGGTGGGGTGGGGACGCCCCTGTGCCAGGCCAAGACCAGGCGCTGGTGCCTCGGGGTTCCGCAGCACCCACGCAGCTCCAGCTGCCGGAGAGTGGCCCCGGCTCACGCTGCACGTGGTGGGGCCTCTGCACGGCTCCCAACACCGCAGGCTCCACACCCTGACTGCTGCACAAGCACCTGGAGAGCGTCAAGGCGGAGAGAGCCTGGAGTCAGCAGTGGGGGGACAGGGCGCACCCCACAGCCACCTCAAGCCAGGGCTCCTGCTCTCACGGCATTGCCGTGCTCCAGCACCTCGCAGACACCCCCCACCCTCTGCCCCCTCCAAACCATCATCTTGCATCTCTACAAGCTCGGCCCACGGCCTCCGGAGACGACAGCGCCGAGGCAGCGGCGAGGTGGGTCTGTCCGGGTCCATGACGGTGAGGGGCAGCAAGGGGATAGTGCCGTGGGAGGCAGCCCCAGGAGCTGCTGGAGGTGGGGAGAGGAGCGTCCGGTGAGGGGAGCGCGGTGGTGGCCTCTGTCTTCTCCCAGCGCCTCGCAGGGAGGCACGGCACAGGCGGTGGGCACAGGGCACAGTCCAGCCGAGCTCCACGCAGGGGTAGCAGCACGGTGGGGCCGAGGTCCGTCTCGGCACAGCCGCCCTCCCACCCGGTCGGGGGCTGCGGCGGCAGTGCTGGGGCTGGCGGCGGGGCTGGCCCTGCCGGGGCGGGCGGTGGCGGCAGCGCCGGGCTCTGGTGCTCAGTCCGCGGTTCACTGTATATATTTATATATAAACAAGGACAGCAGTGCTGTGGTGTTGCAATGAGGAACAGCTGCTCTGGTGCTGGATGCTCCCGGAAGATCTGGTGCTGCAGTTCGAATGGAGAGATCAGGGGCACGGCCAAAGCCAGGTGAAGGTTCTGCGCACCGGCTGCCATCCGGCCTTCCCTCCTCCCCTCCGGGAGCACGGTGCAAAGGGGTGGCGGGGCTCTCAGTGTGCAGACAAACCTCTCTCGTGCGTCTTTCAGGAGTAGATGGTGATGACCTCTCGGCCCCCACCACGCACCAGGAGCACTCGGTCCAGATGCTCCGTCAGCACCTCCAGGAATTCCATGTCTGCACGGCTGTCAAGGAAGAAAAACTCCACACTGGAGCATGGGGACGGCCCTGCTCCATCCCTGCCTGGCCCCTGCCCTGCAGCACCAACACACAAGAGCCAGGAGCTGGTGGGGTCAGTCCTGAGCTGAGGGGCCAGGGGAGCCCACCTGTGCTGGTGCCACACAGTGGGGACGGTGGCTGAGCCAGTTATGTGCCATTGCACTCATGCGTGCAGGTGCAATGTCGTGTGGCCCCATCACCCATCACAGCACTGCCAGAGGGGCAGGATGGTGCCAACAACACCTGTCAGACCCAGCCAGGGGCAGGAGAGGTGGGGGAGTCCTGGCTTAGGCACTAGACCTGTGCATCTCAGCAGTTGCCTGCAAAACCCACCCTTTTTGGGTGAGTCACAGACCTCAGCCCCTCCTGCAGAAAAGGGTCTTGGTGCTTGGCCCCACAGGAAGGATACAGTTCTCATCCCCTTTCCGGTTACGGGGTGGTCCTGGCATGTTCAGCAGGACCAGCTTGGCGTCCTGGGACTTCTTCACGATCACCTCATTGAGCTTCACAGCCGTGTGCATCCTCCTCACGTTGGACTGGTTCCTGTGGGCGACAGTGCGTGTGGGCACAGGACGGGCACAGCCAGCCTCCAGCCCCACACTGGGCCCGAGGGGCCACAGGGCAGGCTGGCCTCCTGCCCCAGAGGGGCCCGAGCTGGGCTGTGGCACAAGCTTGGGGTGCAGCAAGCTTTGCTGGGCGCGCTGCTGGCCACTCTGAGCCCTCATCGGTGGCCGTGAGCTGCAGGGCCACGCGCGGTGCCCACGGGCAGCAGCACCCCATGGCTGGTGGGGGCCAGGCCGTGTGGGAGCGACAGGAGCAGACGGCACCGGAGCTGAGGCTCACAGGGAGCTGCCAGCACCGTGACGGGGCAGACGGGGAGGGCGCGGCGCGGGCAGCGCGCGGTGCACGGGGCTGGCAGCCACAGCCCCCGCGTGCCGCCCGGCTGAGCCGTCTGGCACGGCAGATGTCACGGCTCGCTGAATCGCCCTCCTGCATGGGGGCAACCCCCATGGCTCCCCATCCCAAGCACGTCCCAGCCCTCCCCCCCACCGGCCCCGGCACCCTGCCAAACCCAGACTTACAGGTTCTCCCACTCCCTGCCAGGAGCACGATGGGGCCAGGAGACAGAAAGAGAGACAGACAGACAGACAGACAGACAGAGAGCAGAGGTGAGTGCCAGGTGTGTACCCCGAGTCCCTGCAGCACACGCAGTCTGGGCATTCCACCCCTCTCTGTCACCTGCACAGGGACCACTCGCCGCCTCCCCCCCAGCCCCTCTGCAGGGATGCACTCGGGGCACTCGGGCTGCCTGACCTCTCCTCAGGGCAAGGACTGAGCTAGTGCTGTGACGGCCCCGCCTGCACCCATCTGGCTGGGGCAGGGAGGGACAACCAGGGGCACAGGGCACGGGTGGGATAGGGTGGCAGCGTGGGGGGCCGTACGGCTTCATGTTGAAGAAGTCCTTGATGCCCTCAGGGCTGACAGGGCTCTTGCTCTTGTTCTTCTCGGCGACAGACTTCTCCTTCGTCCAGGTGAGATGAACCTTCTCGGGGGCTGCCTCTACCTCATCACCAGGGGACTGGGAGCTGCTGGAGAAGGTGGTGGCATTCTTGTCATGGATGAGCTGGACCTGCAGAAAGGAGAGGGGGGATGACAGGCAGGGACTGGGGACAGCTGCCTGCCTGACCCTGTCTCAGTGCAACCCCTCACCTCCTCCTCCGGCTTCTCCTCGCCATCACCAGCCTGCTCCTCGGGGACATTCAGGCGCAGGCGCGTGTTGGCCGGGTTCTTGCGCCGAATGGAGCCACGGGACTCATCCGTGATGCTCTGGATCTGTGGAGGACAGGGTCAGCCAGAGGAGCAGGGCAGAAGAAGGCTTGGCTGGGCAGAGTTCAGCCTGCAGCCCCACTGCCCGGCAGGAGGAGCACACAGAGCTACAGGGCAGCTCGGTCAGCAGCAGAGCCACCACAGGGGTCACAGCCCACCCGGCCCGTCCTGCAGCCTCACCTCCCGCTCACGCTCATTCTTGGTGAGGTGCATTTGCTTGAGGATCTGGGAACGCTGCTCCATCACCAGCGTCTTCTCATAGGTGTAGGCAGAGATGTCACTCTCATGCTGTGGGGGGAACAGGAGAAATGTGGGGCAAGGTGAGCTGCACTGACTGCTCCCAGCACGGCCCAGCATATCCCTGTGTTGTTGTGCCCTCCCATGGGTTCTGTGTCCCACTGTGGAGCTGCGTGCTACCACGGTGTTGTGTGTCCCCCCCCTTGGTCCCACATCCCCTCGTGGCAGGGTCTGTCTGGTTCTCCCATGCACAGCACCCCTGACTGCAGGACGCACCCTGTGCCAGCACTCACCATCTCCACCACCTCCACCTCTGCGGTGATGCGCAGGTGGTACAGGAAGGTGGTGAGGTCCTTCTTCATCTGGATGCTGTTGTCATCCATCTGTGCCACCGTGAAGATGCGCATCTTGCACTTACGCCAGACCTATGAGGGAGGGAGGAGTCACGGGCAACGGCCGGACTGGGACAGCACCGGCCCCAGCCCCTGCCCCAGCTGCGCTCTGCAGGGCCCAGCCTACCTTGTGCTGCCGCAGGAGGAAGGGCAGCAGCATCAGCATCCCCCCATCGTGGACAATCCACCAGACGTCGATGTGGCCCTCCGAGAACCGCTCCTGGTTGCCCGGGAACATGGCAACATTCTTGGCCACCAGCAAGGCCAGGTGCCCAGCCGTGGTCTCTCGCACCAGCTCTGGGAGGGGAAGGGCCACGTCAGCCAGGGCGGTTCGGAGCCCCCCAGCCCGTCAGCGCTCGCCCTCCGCGGTGCCTACCGATGAAGTTCCTCCAGGTCTGGTGGTCCTCCTTCTGGCGCCAGCTGCGGGGCCAGCCCACCAGCACCGTGTTGTGCTGCAGGCCCCCCAGCCCACTGGACTGGATGAGGTGGGACATGCCATCCCGCAGGTTGGAGGAGATCACCACCTGGCAAAAGCCCTTCACCTTCTCCGCTTCCATCAGGCGCCGGATGGACTGCGAGGGAGAGGGAAGTCAGAGACCTCAGGGTGCAGGAACGGGCACAAGCCACAGGCACGGCAGCCACCAGCCCCAGCAGTGGCCCCGTGGCCACGTGTGGGGGGTGTGGGGTACAGGGTGCAGGCTGTAGGGGTACAGCACACAGAGAGTGGGGTATAGGGTGCAGAGTGCAGGCTGTGGGGTGCAGGCTGTGGGATGCAGGTCCCCACAGGGTGCCCAGGTCTCCGTGCCCCATGGCAGGCCGGTGGCTCCGGGCCAGGGGGGTGATGCCCAGTGGTGCGCGGAGCTGGCACGCGGCTCTGTGCCGTGCAGAGAGGAGGGTGTCCCTGTGCCAGGGCTCTGACGGGCGGTGAAGCAGCAATTAGAGTTATTTACTCAGAGAAATTATAACATGTCTGCATGGGAGAGAAACTGTTTGCTTCCGAGGGCTTAATCTCATTAATGTGCCGCCCGGCGGGTGCAGGGGGGGAGTGGGGAGGGCTCTTGTTCTGGCAGGGAAACGCTCCTGTCTCCCACCCTGCCTGGCACCAGAACCACAGAGACCACAGGGAGGGTTGAGGATGTGGGGTCTGCTCAGTCCAGCAGCACAGCAGACCCTGGCCAAGCACCATGCCGTGCTGTGCCATGCTGTGCCAAGCCCTGCAGCAGCTGGCCAAGACTGGGACCAGTGTCTGGATGGTGCCAGCGTCTCTGGTTTCTTGGTGGGGGAGAGGGGTCTGGAGATCCCTGCGGTGCTCCGAGCACTAGTGAAGCACTGAGTCCCCCAGGCTCTGCCCAGTGATGCTCTAAGTCTCTCTGGGCCATCCAGGGCCACCAGTCCTGGTCATGGGGCAGGAACGACCCTGGGCACCTGGGGACCATGGGCACCTGCTGCTGGCAGCGCCTGTCCTGTGGCAGGCAGCTCTCACCTCCTCTGCCCTCTGCGCCTGTGGGTGGTTGTCCAGGAAGGTCCCTTCCAGCACAGAGGCCACAATGGTGAGGCCCTTCCCAGCCTTGAGCTGCGACGTGAAGGACAGGAGCTGCGGGTGCACCACGTTCTGCTCCTGGTCCCCGCGGACCAGGACCAGCAGCTGCGGCCTGGAAGGAGGGTCCTGCAGTCAGTGCCCGCACCCAGCTGGTCCCCGTCCCAGCACCCCCAGATCGCCGTCCCCCCTGCCCAGCCTCACCTCCAGTTCTTGGTGTGCGGGGGCCCTTCCTCCAGCCGCAGCAGGGCATAGCGGGCCGCGCTCAGGGACAGCCCCCGGATCCCATCGCCCCACTCCTTCTCCGCCCTGGGGGAACCAGCAGCACGTAAGGGAGGGTCACAGCTCCAGCCACAGAGAACCAGGCTGGCACCATGGAGCATCCCAGGACGACCAGCCCATGGGAGCTGAGCAGCCCATGCAGAGGGGCCATGGGGGATGCCCAGGGTCAGTGGCGCCGTGGTCGCCCTTACCCGCGGTACTCGATGTATTTGTAGATGAGGCCGGCGATCAGCATGGCCACCAGAGCGTAGTACCAGGAGCAGATGAACATCAGCGCCAGGCAGAGGCTCATGCCCAGGAAGGACAGTGTCCTGTGGAGAGCAGAGCACTGTCAGTGTGCCATGGGGTCCCTGGCCCGGGGTGTCCTGGGAGGTCCCTTGTCCCACCTCATCCCGCCCCAGCTCACCAGTGGTAGTAGCGGAAGCGGGGCCGCCAGTTGGGCGTCCGCAGCAGTGTCTGCACCGCACACGCCAGGTTGACGAACATGTAGCACATGAGGAAGAACCTGCGGGAGAGAGGTGAGGCTGAGTGGGCGCACTGTGAGGGACTGGAGCCGCAGCAGGGCCCTCGGCACCTCCCAGTCCCAGGGTGGCCAGTGCCAGAGCGGGCCCTGCTGATGGAGAGGGGAGCAGGGCCGCAGAGCAGCCAGGCCCCAGGGTTGGCCAAGAAGGGGACCCTGGAGTCCCTGCAGGACCCCCTCTTCCCAGATTGGGGCCAAAGCAGCAGGTGTGTCCCCCGACCCCGAGGAGCAGAGACCCGCCCACGACACCCGCTGCTTGAGAAGGTGCGGGTGGGACAGCACGCTGCCTACATGGAGAGGATGGGAGCCACCTCGTCCAGGGAGGCGATCAGGATCCCGATCTCGCAGATGCAGGCCGTTAGCAGCAGGGCCCATGTCGGCTCCCCGTTGGCTTTCCCGTGGCCGAACACCTGAAGTGGGGGGAGAGGGGTGTGTCAGGGCTCTGCAGCGCCCTGCGGCCCTGGGCACGGGTCCTCAGCACGATGATGAACCCTTCCATATATCCAGCCCTGGCAGGAGCAGGGAATGGGAGCACTGGGTGCCACAAATTGGCACACGTCCCAAGCTGGATCATGCCAGGGCAGCTGTCCCAGTGCTGGCGGGACTGACTCCTGCTGACAGTACAGCCCCTTTCCCCGTCTGCATCATCCTCCCCACACCCAGCACAGCCCCTGTCCCCCAGGGACCCCCACCAGGGATGAGCCCCAGCTCAGCCACAGGCAGCACAGTCGGACACCCCGTGCGTGGGCTGGACACTCTGCTGGGGGAGAGTGGCCCCTCCTGTGGCTGTGGGGATGCAGGGGGGGCCGGGGGCGCGTGTCCGGACGCATTAGAGGGTGCGGGCGGCGCGAGAGAGAGCTCGGGTTGGGGCTGGCAGGGCGAAGGAGGGAGGATAAAATTAGCCCGCTCTTCCCTGGGGGGAGCTGTCGGGTTGGATTTGGAGAGATGAGGTTGTGGGAACGCGTCTTCAGAGAGCAGATAAAATATGAAGCGGCACGGCAGCGTGGGGGAAGGGATCCTGACCTTTCCCGGCACTCTCCTCCCACTGACACCGCAGCCAGAGCCACCACAGCCGCCCACCGCGGCGCCGGTGCCGGCGGGACGAGGGTAGGGCAGTGGGGCTGCTCTGGCAGTGAAGGTAGTGTGGGTGCCCACCAGTCCCTCATGCTGGTGGGAGCCACGGCCACGGTGGGTGCTCAGGGTGGGCAGCACTGGGCCCCGGGGACACCTACCCTGAGGAAGGGCACGATCCCATCCCTGGAGATGGCTTGCAGGAGGCGGGGGGCTCCGGTGAGGCTCTGCAGCCCAGCCCCACAGGTGGAGAAGAAGGAGCCGATGACAATGACCCACGGGGACGGCCATGCCAGGGTGCCAACCACCAGGTTCCCATTGACGGCCTCACCAAACCTGCGGGGTACCAGCATCACCTGTGGCTCCGTCCCGTGACTGAGCCCTGAAAGCACCAGCACCACAACCCAGCTCCCCTCAATGACACCACCTCAAGAGGATGTGACAGGACCCAGGAAGGGCCCACCCCACAGAGGAGCCAGCAAGGGAACAGGGTCTGAAGTCATCAGGGGCCTGCCCCCATCCCTGCACCCGTAAGCGTGGCAGGGACAAGGGGAGGTGCGGAACAGGACTCCCTGTCCCTTTGCCAGAGGGGGTTGATGACGCTGCGTGCAGTTGGATCATGTTTGTGTTGGTGCTGGCGACCCAGAAGTGTCACCTGCCGTGTGAAGCGAGCAGGGCTGCCCCAGATAAGCAGGAACACGAGCACGGGCAGCCCCGGCTGTTGACAAACAAGCGGCTGCCTGCAGCCCCAGAGTAGGAGGAATGCAGCAAAACGTGGGGGGCCAGGGCACACACAAGGCCCCAGTGCCTGTTACAAGCTCGAGCTCCACCTTGAGACACCCACAAACCCTCCAATGCCACTGCGTTTGCCAGCCTCCCTCCATGCCCCCCACGGCCCCAGGACACTCACTTGTCACGCAGGACGACCCCCTCGATGCACGCTCCGAAGAGGACAACAGAGCTGATATCTGCCAGGTGGTCAAGGAGAGCCGGGAGGATGTGGAGTCTTGCCTGCCTGCCCAGTGTGGCACCAGGAGCTCATCCCAGCCCTGCAGAGCCAGCCCACCCACCCTCAGCCCCCCAGCCCAGGCTCAGATAAGCCCTGAAGGATACAGACCGCAGAGGTGGTGGCAATGGCCAGGATGGTGCCCGTGGGGATGGACTTCTGGGCATCCCGCAGGTCTCCAGAGCGGTTGGAGCCAGCCATGATGCCTGGGGAAAGAGGAGACGGTGACAGGGGGAGGAGAGCTACAGCCCACACCCATCCCAGACGGCAGCTTGGCTCATGCCAAGCACTGTGAGAGCCCTGGGCACATCAGGGCACTGCTCAGTGTGTGCCAGGCTGGGGAGTGGGCATGGCAGGCAGTGGAGAAGGCGCTGCTGTGGCTTGGGGCCCCTGGCCTGCTCCTCTGATCCCCCCAGGCACTTCCTCGCCCCTCCTCAAACCCCAGTCTGAGGCCACTCAAGGATTAGGCTCAAAAGCTCTCAAGTGCCTTGTCTCATCAGCCCTTAATTAGCTCAAGCAGGGACGGTGACTGCAGCAGGGGCACGGACAGGGTCCAGCCCCGACGCTGCCCTGAGAGGGCAGGAGGTCACTCAGGGACACGGCCGGACACGGGTCTGGCACGGCCCGAGGGGATGACCCGCGCTCCGGCCACAGCAGGAGTCAGGGCAGGGCAGGACCCCACAGCCCGAGACACCGGGGGACACGTGCCACGCAGAAGCGGCAAGTGAGCAGCGGGAGGGAGGGCAGCGGAGGCTGAGCGGCCACCGGGGACCCTGCAGCGCCGGACCGTCCAGCGCTCGCCATGCCCGGGAGGGTCCCGCCGGCCCCAGCCCCGGAGGGAGCTCCAGAGAGGCCCCGGCGGCCGCGCCCCGCTCGGCTCCGCTGCGGGACTGGGGCCGTGGGGCTCCTCCGCCCCCGGGGGAGCTAAAAATACCCGAGCGGCGGGACGTCAGCGCGGCACCGTCAGATCTGGAGCGCGGGCGGTGCGGGGGAGGCGGTGGCGGCCATCCGCCCCCGCGACATCACCGCCACCGCCGCCACCGCCGCGGGGGCGGCACACGCGGGGATCCGCGGAGCGCGCCCGGCGCCACGTGTGCCCCACGGCGCCCCGTGTGCCACCCGGTGCAGCGAGGCCGGGGGCGGCTCCCACCTGTGACCGAGGGGAAGTAGATGCCGACGAGCAGGGTGAAGTAGGAGGTCATGTCGCTGAAGACGTAGGGCTGGTCCATGTCCACTGGGGTGTCGGGGGGGCTCACCGAGGACATCCCCCGCTTCTCCACGATCACGCCCTTGGTCAGGTACGAGCTCCAGAGGTTCTCTGTGAGGAGGTAGGGGACCGGCGTAAGGAAATGCCCACAATCCCCCACACTCGGCACAGCACCGCCCACCCTGCAGGGACGGACATGGGGGGTGTCCGGTGCTGCCTCACCCTCCCAGGCCTTGCTGAGCGGTTGGCACAGTCAGCATCTGGGGCCAGGGGCATCCAGCAGGCAAGGGACGAGGCCTGGCAGCACAGGTGGGCAACCAGAGCAGGTCATGATGCTGCTGGCAGCATCCCCACAGGATACGGGAGCAGATGACATGGGATTGCAGTAGCAAATAATTAAGAGGGTAATATAATTAATGCTGATCAACACAGGTTTAAGGGAAGTGGATCGTGTCAAAGTAACTTGATAATGTTTTTGATGGGATTACGAGTGCAGGGCTGATGTAACAGGCTTAGTGTCCCTCCGTGTGCTGCCTTGGCTGCAGATCGAGGGGAGAAACTGGAGCAGTGGAGAGCAGCCAGCACCGGGCACATTGGGCAGAGGCAACCACCTTCAGCACGGTACTGCTGGGGGACTGCTGAGAGGGGCAAAGGGGTCCTGAGCCCCCCCTCCCAGGCTGCTTTCAGGTGACAGATAGGGCTGGCAGCCCACACTGAACCTGCCCGTCTTGTCCTCCCAAAAAAGCGTTTCTCCCTGCAGGGAGACCCCTTGCCTGGGGCACAGCGAGCCTCTGCCACCTCTGCCAGGGCCATGCAGTGCCACCCATCCCAAGATGCTGCCAGCCTGGTCACCCTCGCCACCAGCCACCCCAGAGCAGGGTGCTGGTTCTGCCCCGATGCCCCCCCCCCGATGCAGGAGCATTTTCTCCCTGCTGTCCTGACAGAGACTGGCCGGGCTGGGTGGGAGTCCACGCCCCCTCCTCGACAGCACCATCACCAGCAGGAGCAGGCTGTGCCCAGCAGCCAGGGAGACCTTATCTGCCCCTCAAAACCTCAGCGTGGGATGCCATCAAGAGGCTCCCGGCCACCCAACAACTGCGCTCCACCAACCGCAGTGACAGTCACAGCCCCAAGCGCCACACACTTAGCCAAGTCTGAGCTCCACGTGGCCACCAGGACAGGATGGCTGAAGCAGCCCCACCAGGAAGGACTGATCCTGCTCAGGGCTCTACTGCACTCCTGAGTCCCAACTACTGCTCTGGCATGGGGGTCTGCAGACACCCTCTGAGTGTGGCACAGAGCATTGGCTTTGCCACCCACTGCCACACGTGAGCACCTGGCAGATGTATCAGTATCTCCAGAAAAAAAAAAAAAAAAAAAACAGGTCAGAAGTGGCTCCTCCCAGCAAATTCAGGCTCTTTCTGCAGCCCTGGCCACTCTCCCAGTGTGGCCGTGGCCGCAGCAGCAAAGTGTCCCCGAGGGGCAATCGCTTCTCACAAAACCTCAGATCAATAACAGCCTTTCCAAAGGCCAAGAGGAAGGAGAGGGAGGATTTATTCCTCCCCAGCCTCTGGGCATCATTCAGAGCCACCCTGCTGGCTGGCACAGACTGCACGGGTGGCTGCAGTGCCCTTCTCTGTCACCCAGTGCTGGAGTCTGTCCCACTGCCCGGCACGGTGTGGGCACGGCTCACTGTGCCCCAGGGCAGAGCAGTCTCCAGCAGGGATCACCCACAGGTGCTCCTACCTGCACCCAGCACTGCCCGCCCACACAGCGCTTGGCACGGCACAGTGGTCACCCTCACACCCTCACAGCAACAGCACCGACCCCTCCACCAGCCCTGCCAGCAGAGATGCCCAGCAGGCACGGCCACTGCCCCACCACAGCTCCCCTGGGCTTCTCCTGTGCTTCCCCCTCCATGCTTCCACCCTCACACCCCCATGCCCATGTCCCCATGCCACGCTCACCTTGGATGAGGCCACTGGCAGCGCCGGGGATGCCCTCGATCTCGGTGACGTTGTTCATGGTGAAGTACTCGTCGCAGGTGGCGTTCAGGAAGCGGGAGGTGCAGAAGAGCTCCCAGAGCTTGGAACCCACCGTCTCGTTCCCCTCCACCACCGTCTTGGTGCAGAGGTCGAAGCCGTGGCGCGAGAGGGTCCTGTTGCCCAGGAGGCAGATCCTGGGGGGACACAGGCACTCAGCTGTGCATCTACATGCCCCAGCCCCGCTGCAGCCCTGTGGGACCCCATACTCACGGGAAGCTTGGCGGGTCGAAGGCTGACTTGATGACACCGGCATAGATGGCGAGGATGGAGAGGATGACACAGCCCAGGAAGACCAGGGCAAACTTGTTGACGTACTTGACCCCCACGAACACGACAGTGGCCATGCAGGTCAGCACGCAGGTGCCGTACACACGCATGTTGTTGAGCATCGCGGCCGCCTCCCCGCTGGCGTCCTCTGCCTTGAAGATGGCCATGGCTGGGAAGATGTAGGCCTGGGAGAGAGTCGTGGCATCACTGCCTGGCTAACAGCCCGCAGGGGGGACCCTGGGGAAGTGTCCCTCGGCCCCCTTGCAAAGCCTCAGTACCCTGATGTGCCATGAGGAGTGGGCAGCGTGGGCAGGCGAGGGCAGAGCCGCCCTGCCAGGAGCTGAGCCCTTGGCACTGTGAGGAGCAAGGAGCAGGCACCTACCAGCAGGATTTCGATGGTGCCCAGGATGTACATGGCGCCGGCAAAGGTGGTGCCCAGGTAGAAGCAGAGCCCCACGGCCCCTCCAAACTCAGGTCCCAGGGAGCGTGAGATCATGTAGTAGGAGCCACCCGCTGCCAGAGAGAGCAAAAGTGGGTCCCAGCCAGACCCCAGTGGCACCCCCAGCCCTGTCAGGTACACCCTAGGGCAGACTGCAGCCAGGGCAGGGCTGGGCCCAGCTCCAGCAGTGAGCAGGATGCAGTCCCCAGGGCCCCAGAGCAGCAGGAGTCATCACACTGGCAGAGTCATTCCCCAGAAGCCCAGCTGCCAGGTGCAAAGGGATGGCCAAAGGGACATGTGTCCCCTGGACACCAGACAGTAACTAGAGCCCCAGAGACCTGGGCCAGGCCCTGCTCCGTCCTCCCAGAGGAGCTCTTAGAGCTGGGCTGCCGGGATCGATGGTCCCGCTGCGGCAGCAGGATGATAAATAGCTTTAATTACACCCTGCGCTGGGCTGTCAGTGCCGTGCCCAGCCCGGCGCAGCTCCTGGCTCCCCAGGGATCTGCAGGGCCGGGCGTGCTCTGGTGGAGGCATCCAGGGCACCCACCGCAGGGACCAAGCGGTGCCTCCCGTGGGAGGCAGAGCCCGCACACGGCAGCGTCCCTGTGTCCGGCGGTGGGAGACACCACCCCACCGCCCAGCCCAGGGCACTCAGCACGCCCGGATGGAATCCTCCTGCCGCGTGTCTCCCGGCTCCCCCCGGCCTCGCCAGTCTGGCGGAGGGAGGAGCCGCGGCTGGCGGCTCTCGCTGCCATCTGCACCTCGCGGCTCTGGGGACGGGTGGCGGCTCCAGCGCTGCGCTCCCCGCGGGCCGTGGGGATCCCGCGCGGGCTGGTGGCAGGAGGCTGGGGAGCGGCTGGTGCCCCCGGGGGATGCTCTCTGGGAGAAGTCCCTGCAGGCACCCGACCCGGCAGGGAGCAGCTCCCCGCGCGCGGCACATGCAAGGACACGGGCTCGGCTGTACCTGGCACCACGCCGTTGGTGGCGATCGCGCTCATGGAAATGGCCGTCAGCATCGTCTGCGGGACGAAACACGGTGTGGGCACCCGGTAGAGCCGGGCCGAGGGACAGGGGGAGTGGAAGGGAGAGCTGGGGCTGTGAGGGGACATGGGGGGCTCCCTGGGGCCACGATGAGATGCACTGTCCAGGGAGGATGGATGGACAGACGTGGAGGGTGGATGGGCAGTCAGGGCTGCTGGCCGGCAGGGCAGCTGCAGGGGCTGAGCCCCTTGAAGGGATAGGCAGTGCCATGGGGAGCCTCTGGCTGCACAGGACACTGCCCAAGGCCAGCCCGCTCAGCCTCTGCCCTGGGGCGACTGTCGGGATGACTCACTGCAGCACAGCAAAGTGCCAGGAAGGACAGGGGACCCCCAGCACATTCCCCCGCATGGCAGCTACGATCTGGGTCACTGTTTGAGCACTGTTCCACTGCTGATTCCTCTGGGAAGCTGAAGGCCTCTCCTTGCTCTAAGTGGGGTAGGAGCTAGAGCAGGGTCAGGGTCAGGGCAGGGCAAGGTGAGCTGGCAGATAATGAACCTCTCCACAGCTCAGACAGACCCCAGGCGAGGCCAGTGGGGACACATCTGGCTCTGAAACTCACGCAGGAGCAGCAAAGGAAGACCATGCAGAAGGACTCCATGATGCCGGCAATCCCCACCACCCAGGTGAGGCGCAGGAAGAGGATGACCCCAAAGATGTTCTGGAGGCAGGGCAGGTAGACACCCATGAAGGTGCCCATCCGTGGGGCCTGTCAAGGGAACAGCAGCCATCAGGGCTCACGGGCCTGGCTGGCAGAGGAGCAAAGGGTCCTGCTCCTCCTGCAAAGTAGCCAGGGATCCCCGGTGAAACTGCCCTCTGGTCAAGGCCAAGGGACCTTCTGTCCCCAGGGCAGCCCTTGACCCAGCACTGCACAGGCAGGGGCTGGGGAAGGGGCTGTGTCCCTCCTTAGTCCTCACCTGCACTGGTTTCTTCTTGCCCCCATCGTTGTTCTCAGCCTCCTCATGCTCCCGGCTACCCTGTGGCAGGTTGGTGTAGTTGGCCAGCCCACTCAGCAGGGACGAGACCATGGGACTGGTGTCCATCTCCTCCTGTGGAGAACAGAGCCCCAAGCTGTGAGGACAATTCCAGAGGGACCCCAAGCCAGCCCCAGGACCCAACAGACCTCACCACAAGCCAACCCACAAGCTCACCCTGCTATAGCAGCAGGGTGACCCTGGCCTGGGGCACTGGCATGTCCCAGTGCCACAGTGCAGGTCGGGGTGCTGCAGGACAACTGCCCAGCTTGGCCCCCTCCCCAGCACCCTCCCTGCCCCCGTGCCTGCACGCCCTACCTCAAAGAGTGCCATGTTCTTGCCATCGTACTCTTTGCCCTTCTCCAGGTCCGTGCTGTTGATGAAGGGGCTGCTCTCCTTGGGATTGCCATCGCCTGCAGAGACACCGTGGGGTCAGTCAGGCAGCCCCTGCCCCTGCCCACACCAGGAGAACATCCACCCCACAAGGTCACCACTGTGAGAGGTCACAGCTCCCACGGGAGGGCTGCCAGGGCTGCGGGCACCACGATCGCACCCAGTCCCGGCACAGGCAAAGGCAGCCCCGGCGTCCCAACCTCCAGCATCCCCTCCCACACCACACACGGGCACGGGCCGTCCCCAGGAGCCACGTGCTGCCCTGCCCAGGGGTGCTGACGCGCAGACCCGCCGGAGCGCATCCACGCACTGAGGCAAGCGGACTGGATCCAGGGGGAACCCTCCGGCAGGACAGCTGGAAGCAATAATTCACGGCCCCAGGTGCCCGTGGGTGAGCACACCGGGGCTGCCCGCAGCACTGCGTCGGCAGGGACAGGATCCGGCCGGTTGCTCAGCGCCAGAGCAGAGGGGATGGTCCCGGCACAGTGCCCGGCAGTGAGGCAAGTGGCCAGGTGTCTGGTCCTGCTCCCAGACACGCACCACAGGAGTGGGGGCCACAGGGCGGGAAGGCGTCCGGCAGTGATGCCACCAAGGGCAGGTGGTGCCCGGGGTGGCAGAGCCACCCACAGCAATGCAGGCCCCACAGAGCTGCCAGGATGGGGCCACTGCCGCTCTCTGTATTAATGTCCTAGTGCAGAAGAAACAGAGTTGGCTTAATAGTGAGGAAAACAGCTGAGCTGCAGAGCAGCAGAAATAAATCAGGCTGGAAATGGAGCAGCAGTGAGGGCGGCGCTGCCGGAGCAGCACAGCCCTGAGTAAAGGCCCAAAGCGGAGAGGGGCCGGGACAGAGGGGCCAAGAGCCAATGGACACAGTGCTGGGCAAATGGCTGGGTGGATGATGGTCCCCATGGCACAGGGAGATGTGGGCAGGTGGGCTGGTCCCCAGCCCTGGGCGTGGAGAGAAGGGCTCCCTGTCACACACTTGTCCCACCAGCACGGCCTCGCAGCCGGAGCAGTTGCACTGCACCACTGGGCAGGCTGCCTGCATGGGCAGGGTCACAGACCTGCTCCACACCCTGGGGCCAGGGCAAGAGATGTCCCCTCCCCTGTCCCCCAACATGGAGCCCATGAGCGCCTGGGGGCAGAGGGACAGTGCTGGGACAGTGCAGTCACCCACTCATGGGGACAGCCCCAAGACAGACCCTATGACCCTTCAGAACAGCATGGTACTTTGAAGAGAGCCAGCCTCCTGCCAGTTGACTCATGTTCGGGATCCTGGGAGCCAGTGTGCAGCAGTGATTCACCATCTGCAATTCCCCGCCAGACTGACCAGGAGGTGAAACCCCGAGTGCCGCAGGTGACACCAACCTGTGGGCTGGCCCCCACCTCCTGCCATCCCTGGGCTCCTCCAGAGTGAGGCAGCAGGGCAGCAGTGTCCCTAAGGGCACAGCCAAATCCCAGGGCACAGCCCACAGGTTTCTTCTGCACAGGAATGGCCACGGTGGTGGCACTGGGACACTCCAGCCCATGGAACCTGCCAGCTTCACTCCACAGTCCCCTTGGACACACACCCAGCACTGCAGGCTGCACCACCAGCACATGCCCTGCCCCGTATCCCCCCTAGAGGGTCTCAACACGGACCCAGTGTGCTCCTTGCTCCAGGTTTGGTCTAAAGTCCTAATCCTCATTAGGTAACAGGAACAGTGTGGGTTGGCACCCACCCGTTCAGCACAGCTCTCGCCCACCCGCAGCAGCTCCGGGGACTGCACTGACGCGAGACATCCATCATGCCAACAGGACAACATCCAGGCTAATGCTGGGGCCATCCCCAGTATGGGGGCACAGGGACACAGGACCAGGGGTGGCTGGAGCCCACCTCCCCCCCGGGACCGAGTGGGGCTGGGTGGCACCCAGGGGGCACGGGCAGCCTGGCAGGGGGACGCGCTCGCAGCCTGGCAAGGCTCTGGGACCCCTCCGGGGGAGCGGAGCCCGCGGGGGCCTCGCCTCGCCGCCTGGTACCCAGCCGACGACATCACCGTGCAGGTTTCCATGGCAACGGCGAGCCACGGCCGCCTCGGCTCCCGCTCTTATGTAACGGCGCAGGCAGCCGGACTCTGGCCCCACATGGCACCCGCGCCCCGGCCCACTGGCACCCACGGATGGCGCGGCCGGACCCCCGGCCCCAGCCCACCCACCACGACCCCGCGGGACTGGCACTGCCCGGCTCCGCACGACAGGCGCCAGCAGCACCCTGGGGTGCCCACGCTCCAACGCACGTCACCACAACAGCACCCAGAACTCGGATTCCCTCCACCCCCACCCCTGGCCGCCGCCCCTTGCGCCGGGACCGCGGCCCCTGCCTGGCATCACCCAGGTTGCCAGGGCCGGCCTGGGGCTCAGGAGCCCCTCTCCTGGCGGTGCCGCTGGGAGGACCGGCACCGGGAGAGGCCCCGTGCTGGTGGGAATGAGGATGCAGCACGGCTCGGGGGGATCCCCGGCCTCCCGCCTCGCCCCGGCCCCGCAGGCTGGAAGGAGTTAAGCACCAAGACGCGGGGTCCCAGGTGACAAAGCGCTCCCGCTCCTGCTCCTGACGGAGACCATTTTGCCGCAGCGGGGCTGGTGCAGCCTCTTCCCGGCAGCTGCCACAGACCCGTGGTCTGCAGACAGGGGCAAGCAGGGCAGGCAGGAGCAGGCAGGGCAGGAAGGACAGGCAGGGGCACTGCACCCGTCCCCCACCTGCCACTGCCACGGTCAGCCCTGCCCGGTGGCACCCAGGGGCTGCTGCCTCCCGGCCCTGGGGACACGTGGGACACTGCCAGCCGCCCCAGTGCCCGCGGGCCCGGCCGTGCCCCGCTGCCCCAGTGCAGCCGGGGCCGAGCGGCAGCGGGACGGGAGCGCTGGACGGGGCTGGCAGCACCGAGGGCAGCAGCTCAGCCAGGAGAGACAGTGTGAGCTGAGCAGAGCCAAGCCGTGCCAGGCTTCGATCCCGGCGCTCCGCCGCCCCCCTCCCCAGGGATCATTCAACATGAATCGGCCTTTTAATTTGCTGCGGCGCCTGGAAGGGCTGGCGGCGGGATCGCTGGCAGGAACCCGCAGCCCCGCCGTGGGCACCACGCAGCCCCACTCACAGTAGGGTTTCCACCAATCTGCCTGCCCAGGGCAGCCCAGAGCCGATACTGGCAGGCCGGGGCCCCAGCGCCGAGGGACCATCACTACACTCCTGTAGCCCCCCAGTGCAGCGCTCGGGCAGAAGCCACAATTTGATCTTCTAATGGCTTTTTACTTAGCCCTAAATTGGGTTGGGAAGCGTCATGTCCCTTATCCCAAATCCTCCCTAATCGCTTTACACGGCGCAGGGCACCAAGCACTGGCTGGGGGAGCCCCAGTAGCCACCCCCCACGAGCTAATTAACCAGGACTGCTGCCGGGGCTGCTGCCTGCTCCTGTCCGACCGCGGCCGGTCTGTCCCCTCCGCAGCATCCAGCACACAGTGAGCCCCAGCCAGGGACATCGGGTGCCGGGGCTGCGGCACTGGCCGGGAGGAGCACCGAGTGAGGAGGGACGTGTTGGGAACAGCCCCGGCCCTACACCCCCCTGCACCTCCGTCTGTGCTCCTGCACAGGGCTGCTGACAGCGCCGGAACCCCCTGCGCCACCCCCCGCCCCGGTCCCCCCAGCCCCAGGGGTAGCAGCAGTGCGACGGCTGCTCAGGGCACTGGGGACGCCTCGGGGCTCCCCCGGAGGCGCACAGGACACCTTGACTTTTGCCACAGGACACCTTGACTCCTGGGGCTCTGCCTGCGGCAAGGGGCACCCCAGGGTGACCCCAGCAGCCCGGAGAGCACATGGGCGAGCACGTGGCCCTGGCTGATGTCCCCAGCTGCTGCCGTTTTGCAGGAGCTGCCGGCCAGGGAGGCCACGCTGCTGTTCTGTCACTCCCAGCTATCAAGGGGACTTGGCTGCACAGCTACTGCCTGGCCCGGGGCTGCCGGCCTGGGGCACCTAAGGCAGATGGGGATGGTCAAGGGGCCTCACGGCAGTGGCACCTCTGCACCCACCCAGGCTTCCTTCTCCCCTGCAAAAGGGTGTCTGACAGCTGCCCTGGGAGGGTGACCCTCAAAGAGGCCACACAGCCCCTGCAGCCCCACTGAGGCAAAGACCACTGGTGGCCAGAGCAGTGCTGGCTTGTGCTGGCAGCGTCATGGCAGTGCCAGCTCTGGCTGCAGCACGGGGGGGGAGCAGGGGAGCAGGGGAGGGTGGGGTAGGGTGGGAGGGTGGGAGAGTGGATTGTGGGGGTGCGATGCTCCCCCTGCCCTAGGGCTGCACTTTGCCCCTCCAGACAGGAAGCACACTGAGTGGCCTTTTGGGCTGGATTCCTTCACTGCCTGACCCAAATTGGACCAACTGCTACTTCAGACCTATCCTCTTCCTTCCTAAACCCAGGATTATCCTCCCTTTGATCAGCCGGCCCTGCAGCGCAGGATTTCCAGCACAGGCGCTTTGGCTGGCTGCATTTAAACAGCTTCCCAGATTCTCCGACAGCCCAAGTCCTCCCTTGGAAATGGCCATGGACACAAGTTCCAGCAAAGCTCCTGGCCCTGTGTCTGCCCTCCTCGGACATCCCGGTGCCCCTGGGCTGGGCACTGTCATAGCAACATGAAGGGGGGACTGCAGTTGACATCCCCACACCCCAAGCAGAACAGAGTGAGCTGCCAGCCTGGACACTGCAGGCTCCTGCTCCCCACTCCCACCACCTCCCCAGAGGGTCTGCACCAGTCCAGCCATTGTTGGGCTGCTGGGGCTGGAGCCCTTCCAGCCCTTGTCATGCGGCTCGCACAGGCTGTCCCGAGCGGGACCTGAGCAGGGACATTGCTGGCCTTTCTGACAAAAATGGCTTAATTGGCACCCAGGGCTTCACCACTTGTGTTGGTCTGGGCAAGTTGTTGGATGTCCAGTACTGGAGCAGCCGGGACATGTGGAGGGGGCCCGCTGGCATGCAACAGCTCTGCCACCCCCCGGGTT